GGGGGAATTGCTCCCACTGTCTCTGCATTCTGGTGTGAATTAAATAGTCTTGCTAGGTCCCAAGTTTTGGGGTTCAATTTGAAGGCGTCAGGGTGGCAAGTTTAAATCTCAGCACCCGTCAGTCTCAAATTACTCATTTTTGACACCTGGATATAGGGTTTTTTTTGCAACAGGATGATTTTTTAAACACTACTTATCCTGAAATAGAAAACATTGCCATGAGAGGCTCCCTCCACCTCTTCAATATTTTCACAAGTTTTCCATCTTTCCAGGAATGGAAAGTTGGGAAGAAATACTTCCAAATGAAGAAAGGATTTACAATGAAATTTTTGAATTGGAGGTCCAGATCCAGATTGGGAACCTGGTGTATATGGAGTTTGGGGAAACTTTTTCCCCTGTGCTGCAGTTAGCAACCTTGGGGGCTTTGATTAGACTTGAGACTACAATGGGAGACAAATTTTTATTTTATTTACTTGTTCCATAAAATGCTTATACCACTTTATTATAACTACCCCCCTCAAAGCAGTTCCAATCTCTACACCAGCATCCTAATCCCCGCAAACATAGGCTGTGTGGTACAGTGGTTGGAGTATGGTCAAACCTCAGTTGTTGAATGTTGCTGTTGGTTGTTCCGAAACGTTTGACAACACAAAACTGAAAGCAGAAGCCTCAATACAATAGGGAAACTCAAAACGGAAGCTGCATAGCATGTTCGCCTTCTGAAAATCGTTTGAAAACCAGAGCAGTTACTTCCGGGTTATCGGCTTTCGGGAGCCAAAACGGAGCCGTTTGAGAACCGAGGTTTGGCTCTATTGGACTAGCACTTGGGAGACCAGCAGTCAAATTCCCAGTCAGCCATGAAGCTCACAGGGTTTGCGCAACTTGGAGAAAAAGGAACTCCTTTCTCACTGAGCTCCTTGGAGGAGAAGGTGGGAGATAAACGCAGTAAATAAACAAAAATAAATATATTGGAATACATTCACACTAAAATGCAGAAGACTTTTCACGAGACTATTTTTTTAAAAAGCCAATTGATGTGGAAATATGGAGAATTTAATTTTAGATTGGAAAAATGAGAAACGGAGAGAAACCAAATTTGACAGATTCACCCATCCCTATTATTATCCTCTGTGTTGTGTTCGTGGTTGTTAAAAACCCCCAAACCTGTGTACTTCTTGGGTTTCTTAAGAACTCCACACTTCTTCTCTCTTTTTGATTCTGCCCATCCCCTCCAATGCAGATTTTAATTAGGGGGAAAAAGGTGGGGGAGAAATCAACACTGCGGCTCGTCATAACACTGCCGTGAGAAGACTGCCACAATAATTATCCCCCTTGTCTATTAGTACGGTCGGAAACAATGCGCATTGCACTGGAGACAGCTTTGCCATTATGTTTTGGCAGCGAGGAAGTATGATTGAACTATAATAGGCGAAGGATGAGAAAATCCCAGAATGACACTTACAATGCAGTTTCTATAACAATGCCTGATACAGAAAGGGGGAGAAATAGAAACAAATGATTAAAATATTCCATTTCATGTTGCGAAGATATGTATCAATGTGCTATATTTTCTTTGCTTGAGGGTTAGTCACCCCTCCCCTTTTTTTGATTACTGGCTCTCTTTCCAAAGTTTGGGGGATTTCACACAAATTGCTTTATTTGAATAAGGAGAGATGAGAATGGAGGATGAGATAGGCACAGAGACCAGGAGGTTGGAGGGGGATGGAGATCCTAATTTAGATGTGCTCTGCTGTGTCGTGATGACACCGCAGAGAAAAACAGACGCTGGTATTTGGAGTGGGCTTTGACATCTTGACTCAGACACTCAAGATGTCAAGTTTCCTTTGAAAAAGTCAACAGCACGACCCACTGTTTATCATCTCATTTACCTCCTCCGAGGGCAAGGTTCTTGGGCCTCCCCATTTGTCTAGGCAACAACCTTGTGAGGTTTGTTTGGCTAAGAAATGGCCCCAAGTCACCTTATTAGCTTGATGACCAAGTGAAGATTTGGACCCTGGACTCACTGGTCCTGATCCAGCAGTCTAAACACTATGGTGCACTAAATTCATACTCAGGGAGTGTGAGTAGCCTGCCTATGGCACTCTGGGAGATATGTGGGTCTGCAGGATGGCTTGGTAGCCCCGCAGGTGAATCTTCTCCAGCTTGAGAGCCAAATTCCCTTGTGGGACCAGAGACAAGAGTGGGCGGTCCAATGGATGCAAATTTTACCCTTTGTGCCTTTGTGCCGTAGGCTGGTTTCTACACACTCACATACATATGTCCTCCATCCATTGTCATAATTCAAGGGTGCATTTGTAGCCAAGCAAAAAACCTCAAGGAGGGTGTGGCGTTTGCCTCCTAGGTGGGTCATAAGGAAAGGGTTAAATGAGTGTGATGTGATTGGCCAGTGGAAACTGATAGGAGGAGTTAGAGTGAGAGTTGGTGTTGTGTGGATGTCAGTTGAGAGTTGGGAGTTGGGAGTTGGAGAAGGAAGAGGAAGGAATAGTCTCTGGGTTGGTTGAGTTGTGTTGTGAGAGAGTGAGAGGAATTGTTAGGTGGAGTCAGATAGTTAGTTGGGATAATCAGTTTGAAGTTGTTAGGAACATTGGGTCACTAAAGAAACTAAGATTAAGAAACTGCCAAGAAAAAATAACTGAAACCATAAGCTTCTTCATACCAATAAAATAAACTTGATTATTTGTTAATGTTAACAACTGTCTGAACTCCATGTGTACCCATGAGAAACGGGTTGGTGGCAGCGAAGAAAGCAATCATAATGGTGGCGCAGGGTCAATAGACTGTCAAACGTCCGGGGACCCTGTGTGATCGCCACAGAGGGTGCAAAGCAGGGCCAGAAAGGAGCATAGCTTGGGAAGTGTGTGTGTGTGTGTGTGTGTGTGTGTGTGTGATGAGGAGAGCCCCAGGTGACTGCATCTGGCATGAAGTTCTCTATCTCTGCTCTATAGGAGAGGCAGATGGGTGCTATGAGGAATGCATTGTCAAAGCAGGCCTGGTCTATGGATGTGGCAAGGTGGCCTGTATACCTGAAGGAGCGTCTCCACCCCCATCATCCAGCCCGGACACTGAGGTCCAGCACCGAGGGCCTCCTGGCGGTTCCCTTGCTGCGAGAAGTGAGGTTACAGGGAACCAGGCAGAGGGCCTTCTTGGTAGTGGCGCTTGCCCTGTGGAACGCCCTCCCACCAGATGTCAAGGCAATAAACAACTATTTTACTTTTGAAAGACAACTGTTTAGGGAAGTTTTTAATGTCTGATGCCGTGTTGTTTTTAATATTTGGTTGGAGGCCGCCCAGAGTGGCTGGGGAAACCCAGCCAGATGGGCGGGGTATAAATAATAAATTATTATTATTATTAGTATTATAAGGTGAGGCACCTGCCCCGAGAGCTGGAAGCCCAAGAGGCAATGCCCATGCAGGCAGTGGCACCAGTTTCTGGTGAGGACTCACAGAGCGTACGAGATTTCAGTGAGATCTTGTGCTTTGCAGGCACTGCCACGCAACATAAGTGAGAGAGGTTTGGTGTCACCAGTGGTATGGCAATGAGGGGGGGGCAGCAGTGGGAGGGATGTAGCATGTTCTAGTGGTGAAATGGGACACACCTCCCCTGTGTCAAGGACTCAAAGAGTGGGGTGCTATGGGGATGTCTCTTCCACCAGCATATCGTCCACCAGTTTGGAGACCCCAAACTGGGACACACATCATCTTGGATGCACTCTTGAGTGAGTCACATGACCCATACCTTGCTCTTGCCCTCCCAAAAGTGCTTGTGGGTGGGTTAAGAGCACAGCGCAAGAGTGTGTGAGATTGTGGCACCCAAAATAGCTGCCGTGGTCACATGTGAAAAAATGTCCCATTTCCCCCCTGGGCATTTGGCAGCTATGCGCCAGAGTGTGCATGTACCGGTAGATTATTGCCTGTCTGTTAATATCTCAGAAACAAGAGTAGGGGATGAATGTTCTGGGCTGGGGACTTTTCATAATGCACTGAGCCTCCCCCGTAGCTAGTAGAGGTATTATGCGCGATATGCAGATTTGCTTAGTTAAAATTGTTTTCACAAGTGACAGAATTTGACTCTAATGGGCATTGCTTCACTATTGCACCCTCACCCCCGGCCATGCAACTGTGTGCAGATTTGACAATAGGCATGGGAGAAGGTGCAATGCAGTAAAGGAGGCTCTAGAGCAGCGATTGGGAACTACCGAGTTTTTTGCTTTATAAGATTCACTTTTCCCCTCCTAAAAAGTAAGGGGAAATGTGTGTGCGTCTTATGGAGTGAATGCCAGAACAGCATTCATGCTTTCCCTGCGCAGCGATCCCTCTTGCTGTTCTGGCTTCTGAGATTCAGGATATTTTTTTTCTTGTTTTCTTCCTCCAAAAACTAGGTGCGTCTTGTGGTCTGGTGCATCTTATAGAGTGAAAAATACGGTATACCTCTCCAGCAACCATCATCCCTGACCATTGATCATGGGCCTAATGGGATTTGGATTCCAACAGCTGTTGCAAACCCAAAGGTTCCCCATCCCTGCTCTAGGTGACAGCTTCCTGCCCCTACAATTAGTTATGATTCTTGGGTGCTAAAGCAAAAGTGTCTTCCCTTTATAGGTTCCTTTGCTATGCAAATTGCAAAGCTCATACCAGCCCTGGGGAATAAATTAGTCTGCAGTTCTGGATATCTGTTAACTATGTGGACCTGTATATGCACAGGCTGTGTCTCCGTCTCACTTCTGCTGATCAGTGGGAAACCCTGTTGAGATTCAGGCTTGGTTTCTTTGACACTCCCCATTTCCAAACTTTTCTCTATATACGCTTGAGGACTAGCACTTTTACCTTTGGAATAAATAAAACATTTCCGCTCCTCTGGAATCCGTCTTCTGCTGCAGGCACCTGAACCTGAGGGATAAACACAGAGCCTCAGCTTGGAAAATGAATTGTGACTTTGGAGTTCACTCTGGCTGCTTTGTTTGCTCTTGTCTTTCTCGTTAGGACAATTACTGTCTTCCGCCTGAGCAGCTTGACTCAGTTTCTGGTTCAGCCTTCGGAATGGAAAGGAGGAGCTCGGCACCAGGACGACATCTTATGTGCGGCGTTTCTGCCCCCGCAGACTCTAGTTACAGGTAGTGGAACATTTATTGCCCAATAGATCATCCTGAGATTAGCAGTTGGGTCCGCCGTCATCTATACGCATGGCTAGAGATGATCCTGCCCAGCCTGGCTTAGCTACTCAGCTCTTGGCAGAGCTGAATTACTTACAAGACACAGACAAATGACATCTTTTAAGAAGCAGACAAAGAAAGTGTGTCATCAAGTGTGTCATGATGGGATTGATACTCCACCTCCTCCTCCTCTGCATGGGATTGGGCAGGGAAAGCTCCTACCAAGTCAGTGGAATGAGATTCATAGAAGATGCCCAGGTGGGTCTGGATGTTGCCAGAGAAGATCAAGAGAGAGACGTGGGACCCCTTTTTGCTCAGGCTGAAGCGTTTTCCTAACTTGGAATGAGAATAGGTCAGGGGTTCCCAACCTGTGGCCCATGGAGGCCGTTTAACCGGCCCATGAGCTGCCCTTGAACTGAGCCGCCCACTTGGCGAGTCCCTGCGCACTGCGCTAAACCAGCACGGCGCGGGGACTCTCTTCTGCTGCTCCAGAAATCACTTTTGCCCATGCCCAGACATCGGAAATCACATCCGCACATGTCCGTGGTGCTGGAAATCGCTTCTGTGCATGCCCATGTGCAGGTGCGATTTTCGGCGTCTGAGCATGCGCAGAAGCGATTTCCGATGCCGCAGACATGGATCTCTATGGGATCTCCACAGGAGTGATCCAGCCCATGCTCAGTAAGCCTTGCTGACTGCTGGCTTAGGTTTTGTCACATGGCTTATTGACATTCAATAAGTTTGGATCAGGTCTAGTTGAACATTCTTATAGCCCGTAGTCAATGGTGGTGGAGAGCAATCAAAACTCTCCACCAATGGTTGGTTGATAAGGGAAAATGGGGCACTGCCCCACCAACCTCAGTGTGCATTCAGCACTGCCTCACCCTGCTTGCCAGGCATACAACCAGATGAGGGGGCAACCTTGGATGCAGAGTCCTAGTTTCCACCTTGTAGAACTCTGCAACGGGGAGGAGAAAGGAAAAACTCGAATTGGCTAGCCCCACCTGTCATTGGCTCTGAATCCAGCTACTGTTGGACTCCTGGACTTCTGCCCTACCAATCGCAGTGAGCACCAGCTTCCACTGCTCTCTGCTTGACAACCCATAATTTTGGGACACACAGTTTAGTTTTACTACAATGTGCCTAGCTTCCCCCCTCAGGCCCATAGGTTCTCTCTTTCCCCTCATTCGTGGTGTGGCTGTGAGAAGGAGTTTGGAAGCTCGCTGGGTTTGAACTCGACAACCCATCTGAGCCCAACAAACAGTGGTTAATCTTACCTATGGTTAGTGGAAACAAGCCAACTTCAAAAGTCACCTCCACCTAACATGCGAAATCAATATATGATCTGAATTGTTGAAGCAACTAAGGGGGCAAGGCAGTAGGAGGGGTTGGATGCAATATTTTCTTGAAAACAATAGTTTTTAAATATAAAAACTATGCTAATATGATTGTTTGGTTTTGCCTGCACCTTCAAATAAGAGCCAAGCAAGTCACAATGTGGCCAGCTCAGCTTTAGAATTTAAAGCTCCTAATCACTCACTGGGCAGAATCAGGCTACAAATGGTCCTAAGATGCTCTCTGTCATGGACGCCCCATTGGTTAAACTTTATCCTTTCTTGTCAACCTGCTGGCAGGATCAGGATGTATCCCAAGTATTTGATGATGTGTCTTGCAATTGAAAGCTGCGACAATGCCTCTCCTGGGAGTATGGGCCACGACCTCTTGCTTAAATGCTGAGTCAGCTGACCTGTTATATATTATAGATTCTCTTTGCAAATGAACCTGATGTTTAATCCAAAGTCAGTTGCTGTTCAGTACCTTTTGAACAGCTAAGCACAAAGAGCAGTATCCAGCAAAGCAGATCTACTAATGCAATGACTTTTGACTGTGCCACAAAACCTCCTTTCCCTGCATGCCTCTGAGCTCGCTAAATCTGTTCTGGTGGTTCCATTGTGCAAGCTGGAATTCTTGTGAATCTACTTCATTAGATACTGCCCAAAGCTTGGAATCTGAGACAATTGAACGTTTAAGGGAAATGGCATTGAAATGTTCACCTGATAAGGGAAGTTGAATGCTGGAAACAGAAATCAGATGGGACAATAAGATTGGGTGATACAAGGTACAGGCTGTATGACTTAATTTAGCATCGGCACAATAGAATTTTATTTTATTTTCTTTGAAATCAGACCTTGCTGTTGTTCTAACAGCTCTGGCTTGTATTCCCCACAGGCCTGTGAAGCCACAAAAAGACATTGCATTTTCACAGCACATCCCCCACTTTAAAATAAAGAACTTAAGTTACAAAATTTCATCTTTGATTATAGCCCACCTTGAAAGTGCATTGACTTTTCATTGTCTATTTCAGGGAGTTCTGATGGGGACATTGTTGTATGGAATAACAGCACAGAAAGCGCCTGCTCTAAGCTGCACTTGAATTCCAGGAGATCACTGAAATCCAGCTCAGGTCAGTGTGAAACCATCATATAACCCAAATTTTATGAGAGCCAAAAAAAAAAAAAAAAAAGGAAGGGGAAAAAAGGTGCGGGGTCTCTGTAGAGATGGAGAGCACTAGGACCAAGGAGGAGTGTGATGATTCTGCCTTCCTTAATTTAGGGAAGGAAAATAACATTGACCAACAAAACTGCAGGAGGAACCTTTATTTGGAGTTTGGTCTATGCAAGGAGCACCCAAGAATGTAACATTAGACCAGAGGGTCATCAACTTGTTTGGGCCAGTGGGCGTATTGGGTGTATTGGTGCCAGTCATAAAATGGCTGCCATAGGGTGTAGCATAACTCAAAATGGCTGCCATGGGCTGTGGCATAGCACAAAAGTGTTGCTAATGAAACAGCAGAAAAAGAGACAGGGTCGCAAAAATGGTGCAAGACCCTGCAACAGCAGCCTCATCAGTGGGGGGAAGGCACCTTATCAGCTGAGCTTCATTCACAGGGGGAACCTTTTTGCATCTCTCCTCTGGGGAAAGAGGGTGCCCCATCCTGGCCTCCAATGACATGTGGCGATCCAGTGACAAGTGGAGCAAGTTGAGTGTAGGCGAGAGTCTGATCTAATGCACTGAACAAGAAAATCCACAAGCCTCTTGAGCATTGTTTGTTTTTGTGGAGATACTTATTGAGACATTTTTCAGGCACTGTAACAGGTACTGGTGGGTACACTGCCACCCGCATGGTCCACATTTTCAACTCCTCCACAAAGCAGGAAACTGCCCACCATGGCCCTAGCTCTGAATGTACTGAAGATGCCTGAGGCATCTTTCTAGACCACCCAGTGGAATCTGATTCCACAGAGGTGGACCAAGGCAGGTTGGACTGGAGCCATGCCTCTCCACAAACCTAGATAGTCACCCCAAGGGGCATTCGCTTTATCCCGAGGGTGTGGGAGAAGCAGTGTGGAGAATACAGATCCTAAGATTCACTGGGATAACAAGCTGCACATGGAGCTGATCTGCACTATCAGTCCAAGAATAATTTGACAAGTATCTGCCCCTGGTGCCAGGAGTGGTGGCAAAATGCTCCTTATCATATGGGCAGATGCTACAGACAATCAGTTCCCCGTGTGGTTGCAAAGCTGCTGCGAACAAGTTATCCACTTGGTAAATGATCGCTTGTTTTCACCCTCCTAGCACCCTAAGTCTCTCATTCTGTGGGATCAACCAGGCTAGAAAAACTTTGATCTATGAAATCACTAACAATGAGTTCCAGCTCTGGGATTGTTTATGCCTTCGCTGCGTCAGAGTGACAAAGCGTCGGCAGCGAGTTTGCTCTTCCTTGGGATGGGGCTTGCTAATTCCCCATCGCTCTCAAGGCTATTGCTTCTGTTTATTGTCCTGGATCTACTTCAGCGTTTCTTTATATCATTACCTCCAGCAGGGAACATTCCCTTAATTTTCGCCTTCTTTTGGTGAGGGGTGATAAATAATTGCAGGCCACCCTCCCGGAACAGAGCCTCACAGAGCTTGCCTGCCGCCCCCCCTCCTTTGAGGCTGTTCATAACCTGAAAAATGTCATTTGGTTGAAAGTCTTCACACTCTAATGGTTATCATACATTAAGCGCTGTGCTAGCAGGCAATGCGTAATTGTTCCCTCCTCTACAAACCACAGCTTCCATTATGGGAGAAATACTGGCGGATAAAGTGGGGTGGGGGTGGGGGGCAGAAAGGGGCTCTGTAGCAGGGAGAGAAACTAATGTTACAGAGGGCTTTGACAAATCATTTTTAAATGTTTCTTATTTAGGTTTCTTCACATTTCTCCCAAGACAAATATACACACACACACACACACACACACACACACACACATATATATATATATATATATATGCAGGTTTTGGTGTCCTCGGGTGTCTTCCCGTGTAAAAGTTGGGGTGTCTAGGCGACGTTTCGACGAGGTCTCACTCGTCATCTTCAGGCTGGTGCTTTCGGCTTCTTGTTACTGGAACAGAGCAGGATCTCAGTGTTTGAGTTCCTATAAATACTGTTGAGGGGGTGTGGTGTATAGCCTCCAATGTTCTGGGCAGAGAGGAAGTTCCCAGGCTAGTGTGCCTTTTCTTCTTTTGTTCCTTAATTACTTGAGGGTTGAATTACTTGAACAAAAGAAGAAAAGGCACACTAGCCTGGGAACTTCCTCTCTGCCCAGAACATTGGAGGCTATACACCACACCCCCTCAACAGTATTTATAGGAACTCAAACACTGAGATCCTGCTCTGTTCCAGTAACAAGAAGCCGAAAGCACCAGCCTGAAGATGACGAGTGAGACCTCGTCGAAACGTCGCCTAGACACCCCAACTTTTACACGGGAAGACACCCGAGGACACCAAAACCTGCATTCCTGTACCCGTGAAAATCTACGAAAGCATATATATATATATATATATATATATATATATATATAACACTAGGCAGAATGATATGATAGGGCACTTTTGATCTATTGCTTCTATGTCAGCCACAGGAAAGGAGGTTTCACCCTTCCTCCCTTTTAAACACCCAAATGGGAGAATGCCTAATTTTCGCTGTATAAATAATCCCTAGATCTATCTAGATGTGCCAGGAACAAACTCTAATGGATATGGATGCAATTACTTTGTTGAAGGAAGATTTCCCAAACGCTCGAGAACCTAAAAGGCAGGCTGGAGATTGTAATGAGCTAACAGGACCATCCGTCAGCCCAATTCAGTGGATCTGGCTATCATCAGGCCGTTGTATTCTAGACCAGCATCATTACAATAACATGTTTTGGAGTCCTATGAGAACTCCAATGGTGCTAGCCCAAGATGTGACCCCTATTATAAAATAGGGGTCAAACCAGTCCCTTTGGCAAGGTTTGCTGCTCAGCCAAGTGCTCAACATCTGCATCTTTGATGAGTGAGCTTCATCTTAAAAGAGTGAGCTCCATTGCTGTAGAAACAAATGGGTAGGGCTTTCCTCACCTGGCTAGTAGGTAGAAGAACCTACCAACCTAGCAGTTTGAAAGCATGTCAGTGCAAACAGATAAATAGGTACCACTGTGGCAGGAAGCTAGATGGCGTTTCCATGCTCTCTGGTTTCCATCACGGTGTTCTGTTGCGCCACAAATGGTTTAGTCATGCTGGCCACATGACCTGGAAAGCTGCCTGTGGACAAACACCAGCTCCCTCTGCCTGAAGCAAGAGAGCGCTACACCCCATAGTCACCTTTGACTGGACTTAACCATCCAGGGGTCCTTTACCTTTACCTTTTACCTAGAAGAATAGACAGAGTTGTTTGTGAGAGCTAGAAGCTAAATGTTGGAAGATGGAGAAAGAAGCATATCTTGCTCTGTGCTGGTCTTTGGGGCTCACTTGGAAACCTAAAGGGGGGGGGGCAAAATCTATATGAGTGTTAATGTTGTGAGCACCTGTGTCCCATGCTCAGGTGGTATATTTGTGCAAATAAAACCATATATCCTAAAGATACCATAGTCTCCATCGACCTTCATTCCAAGGAAGCTGTACCCTAGGAAGTGCAGTTGTCCCTGGAATCTCTCGCTGCTTGGAAATATGAGTAGAGCATAACAATATTACAGTGGTACCTCGGGTTAAGTACTTAATTCGTTCCAGAGGTCCATACTTAACCTGAAACTGTTCTTAACCTGAAGCACCACTTTAGCTAATGGGGCCTCCCGCTGCGGCCGCGCCGCTGAAGCACGATTTCTGAGGTAATATTTCTGGGTTAGCAGAGTCTGTAACCTGAAGTGTCTGTAACCTGAAGCGTACGTAACCTGAAGTACCACTATATAACCATTTCCTAACATCTGGTTGTATGCCTGCACAATTTTGTTGTCATATATGAGGAAGCCTTTCTACCAAACTTCCCCAAATTTAAAAAGCAGCGAGAGGCTGTGGAAGTTTCCTATGTTGTCTAACAAAAGGCAGGCCTTATTTCCAAAACTTATCTTCTGATTTGCTATGCAGCGGCAGCAATTTTATAGTTTTGAACCCATAGGCCATAACAAAACTGAACAAGCATATAAACAGAGGATGGCGTGTAGGAATGAAATCATTTCAGAACTGAGCAAACATATCAAAATGCAAATGATTAAAATCAACAAATCTCCTTGTAAAAAAGATGTTGCCTTCTACGCCAAAGAGGTATTTTAAAAACTTTCGGCAGTAAAGGTGAAAGAGGCTGCTTGCTCAGAAACCCACCTCTCCCCAATTGCAATGTGAGTGACAGTTCTCTCTAAAATAATAATAAAAAAATATATTTGCAAGGAAGTAGGAATGCTAACATCTTTAGGTATAATATAACGTAGGGGTAATTAGGCAAGAGGGAGAATTTCGGTTCAGTTTGCATATTAATGAGTGTTTAAAATTTAACAGTCATCCCAGGGAACTGGTTGGATGCTTCATGAATTTCAGAGTGTAGCTCTCTAAGTATGTGTAAGAACGTTTTCTCCTCCTGCCTACCCATGACCTCGCCATTTCCAACCTTCTTCTGCTTTGTCCTTGGGTCTATTTCAGATAAGAGGAGCCCTGCTGGATCAGGCCAAGGCTCCATCTAAGCCCAGCATGCTGTTCTCATAGCGGGAAACCTAATAGCAGGATCTGAGCATGACAGCAACTCTCCTCACCTGCGATTCCTAGCAACTGGGATTTGGAGGAACAGTGCCTCCAAAAGGATTAGCTGCTCTTTGTAAAGCATCCCATGCAGCAGGGATAATAATAATAATAATAATTTATTATTTATACCCCGCCCATCTGGCCAGGCCTCCCAAGCCACTCTGGGTGGCTTCCAACAGAATATTAAAAATGCAATAAAACATCAAACATTAAAAACTTCCCTAAACAGGGCTGCCTTCAGATGTCTTCTAAAAGTCAGATAGTTGTTCATTTCCTTGACATCTGATGGGAGGATGTTCCACAGGCCAGCGCCAAGAAGGCCCTCTGCCTGCTTCCCTGTAACCTCACTTCTTACTGTGAGGGAACCACCAGAAGGCCCTTGGAGCTGGACCTCAGTGTCCAGGCTGAACGATGGGGATGGAGATGCTCCTTCAGCTATACTGGACCAAGGTCATTTAGGGCTTTAAAGGTCAGCACCAACACTTTGAATTGTGCTCGGAAGCGTACTGGGAGCCAACGTAGGTCTTTCAAGACTGATGTTATATGGTCTCGGCTCGGCAGCCACTCCCAGTCACCAGTCTAGCTGATCGCCAGTGTGATGTCCATGCCAGACTGTCCAAGTGTCCCTATTTTCCAGGGACCTTTCTGTGTTTACAGAAGCCATCTTGGTTTCTGATTTGGTCCTGGAATGTCCCGCTTTTCCTTAGGAGGTCCCTATTTTCACCAGAGAAATATTGGAGGGTATGGAGTTATGTAACCCCCGAGCCAAGGAGATAAGTAACTATACAACCTTCAGAAGATATCTGAAGGCAGCCCTGCATAGGGAAGTCTTTTAATGTATTATTATGTTTTCATATATGTTGGAAGTTGCCCAGAGAGGCTGGGGCAACCCAGGCAGATGGATGGGGTGGAAATAATAAAATTATTATTATGGAATAGGACGTCCCTGTTTTCAGTGGAGAAATGTTGGAGGAATTGCCCTGGGTGGACCTGCAGAGTTCTTCCTTGGTGTGGAAAGAAGCATTCTGTTGTGGCCAGCAGAGATGATGTCAGGCCGAACTGGTTTGCGGTTTGTTTGTGGTTCCCATGGCAGCTTCTCCTGCTTGCAAATGTTCTCTGTGGGCCCCAGAATGTTACTGACCCCCATGTACAAAATTGGCTCTACATAATAAATCAATAACACACATAAAGTAAAGGTAAAGGGACCCCTGACCATTAGGTCCAGTCATGGCCGACTCTGGCGTTGCGGCGCTCATCTCGCTTTATTGGCCGAGGGAGCCGGCGTACAGCTTCCGGGTCATGTGGCCAGCATGACTAAGCCACTTCTGGCGAACCAGAGCAGTGCATGGAAACGCCGTTTACCTTCCCGCCAGAGCGGTACCTATTTATCTACTTGCACTTTGAAGTGCTTTCAAACTGCTAGGTTGGCAGGAGCAGGGACCGAGCAATGGGAGCTCACCCCATCGCTGGGATTCAAACCGCCGACCTTCTGATTGGCAAGCCCTGGGCTCTGTGGTTTAACCCACAGCACCACCCGCGTCCCTAATAACACACATACAACATGAGAAATGTGCAAAATGGCATAGGTTTTATAGCTCAGGGATGGGCGGAAAAGTACATTGGGACCTACTGGTAGTTCTCTGGTGATTTGCAATAGATTGACCAGGGTTTTTGATTCCCAGCAATAGCAAGTGTGGAATAGAATGACTTTTCCTGCTTAAATGGTGTTGCCCAAATGGGAATTGGAAAAAGAAACCTTAACCAGGAGTGGATGGCATGGTATTGAAAATAGGCTCAGAAGCACCCTATTCTTCAATTCCAACAGTATTTTGTAGCTAGATCTGGCTGGTAAATCCTGAGGTTCTAATGAAAAACAAAATTGATCTGGCGAGCCTAAAATCTGCCTTCAGAAAGCCAGCTTACATTTTTTTTAATATAAAAAAGTGCAAGTTCCTAGTTGGCATGGCTGCATTTGTTTTGGGGTCTTTGGGTGAGAAAGTTGCCAAAAGGGAAATTACCGCTGGCACACAGGTGGGACCTCTCTCCCTGTCCCTCCCTGCCCTGGGGTTTCCCTTCCAGCAGCTCTCATGCCAAGTTCTGCAAACAGCTTTTTAAAAACCCAAAGGAGTTCTAAAAGCAGTTTTGAGACAGCTGTTGAGAGGGGAAGTCATAAAAAAAATAAGCTGAAGTGCGTACGGAGAAAGCACCTGTGCTTGGGGAGGTGGCCACTCTTGGCATCTCGAGAGCACACACTTCTTTTTTTAGACCCTAATCAGGAGCTTCTCTCGCAGGCTCTCAGATGCAGCGGAACGTAACTTCTGCTGGCAGGCTGTCCTCTAGAAGACACACACTATCTGCAGCTGACTACGCCAACTCTGACGAGAACTGTCATTCCATTACTAGGCTCTTCTTCCTGGAGGGGAGGAACGTTTCAGTGTCAGGTAAGGGAAAAGCATTTCATTTTCTATGGTCATTTGGATGAAGGGTGAGAAGGGAAGCTGGACCACTTGACCGGCCCTGCTGAGAGAGCAGCCAGCTCTTCCTCTTCCTCAAGTGTCACCTCGGAAGAGCAAAAGGTGTTCTATCGGACTGCAGAGCAAGGGAGAGGTGAGAAGGAGGGTGACTCTGCTGAAAAGAAGAAGAAAAAGAAGAAGAAGACGACGACTTTGGATTTGATATCCCACTTTATCACTATCCTAAGGAGTCTCAAAGCGGCTAACATTCTCCTTTCCTTTCCTCCCCCACAACAAACACTCTGTGAGTTGAGTGGGGCTGAGAGACTTCAAAGAAGTGTAACTAGCCCAAGGTCACCCAGCAGCTGCATGTGGAGGAGTGGGGAATCGAACCTGGTTCACTAGATTACGAGACTACCACTCTTAACCACTACACCACACTGACAACTTCCCTTTGGTGCTTCCTTTCTCTGAACAGTTTTCATCCCAGCTTGTTTTCATAAGAATACCATATTTTTAAGAACGTGCTCACATTTGATTCCCCATTCCCCCTTTCCTTCTGTGCCATCTTTTTGATTGTAATTCTGAGAGCAGGGACTGGCTGGTGTTTTTGTTTTTTTTAAACACTCAGTAGAGAGCTTTTTCAGCTGAAGAATGGTGTAAAAAAGCTTTTAATAAAGAAAGTGTGGATGGATGCCAACTCAGCCTACAAAGCAATCCTAACTGCAGGAAGCCAGCATAAATTAGACCAGTTTCAAACTTTGTTCAGGAGGAATATGACCGACATCACCCTTTTTTCTCGCTAAGTTCTGCTGGGTTGCTTGGACATATGATTGAGCTGGAAGAGTTTTGGAATAGGTGAAAACCTCCTTGCCCTGACACCACAGCCTTTTGGGAGGACTTGTGCTGGTGTAAATTACACTGGCTTAAGTTTTGCTGACTGAGCCCTCGTTGAGAAAGCCCAAGATCTGCCATATCCCAACTCTCTTGACCTAAGGGATCTCAGGTTTGGATTGTGCTGTTAGTTGAATGTTTACAAGTGACAGCAGGATTACTCCCAGTATTAGCCAATATAGTCACTGATGGTAGGAGGCTCCCACCAACTCATTCCTCTTCCCCAGAATGTGGAAGTTTTCTTCATAAAGAAGATGAGTCAAGTTTCTTGGCCTTTCACAACTACCCTTTTCTGCAACCTTTCCTCTGGATCTACAACGATGTCCTTTTCGAGATGGGAGCGACCAGGTTCTGTAATGGGGTTGTGTCACTGATTTATATAACGGCATTATGAAAGTTGCTCTTTAATTTCCAGCCCCTTCCTTGCAATTCCTAACACTGAGACTGCCCTTTTCACTGCAGAAGCAAAGGCACACCTGCGTAAATGCATGTGAGACATGCCAGTTACGGAATACCAAATAACACTACCAGAGAAGAGATTCTTCCTTCCTCTTTTGGGTTAGGATCCATCTCATATGAGCATTAGGAAAGGAAACCTTTTTTGCAGCCTAGTGCATAGCTACTCTTGTGGGAAACCTTCCAGACCCCTGCAGAAATGTAGCTAAACTTTCTGCTCACCAGCTTCTTAGCAGAGAGTTAAATCCTGCTGAGTGCTCCTTTCCTAGTGTGTTCACTGTAGGGAAGTCCTGGTGAAGCAGTCCTTACCTGCCTCTTCTTATCCCCCCGCCCTCCATCTTGCCGCCTGACCACCCCACCTTTTGACTGTTGCGGATATTAAATATTGCACAGTTTGAAGCAACTGGAAGCATAAGAACTGACTTCTTTGGAAATGAAGCATTGCCCAGACCCATGAAAATATCATTTAAACTCTTACCGGCAGAACTTTCTTCAAAACAGAATTAAAACATCAAAAATATCTATGCAATATCTTGCGCTGTCTAGCACAGGCTCAGCATCTTACAAAATATGAAATATTCCAAACAGACCTAAAAGCAAAGGTGTCTCTCTCTCCGACCTGCTTTTCACATGTGACTAACAGCCACCACCCTTTCAAGATGGCAGATTTGCAACTCAATACCTTTATCACTTGATCAAAGGTTACTCTCACTATAGAGTAGAGAAACAATCAACAGGTAATTAACTAGTTACAGCTCGGAGTCCTTTTGAAAAACTTTCTGGTTCGCCAGAAGCGGCTTCGTCATGCTGGCCACATGACCCAGAAGCTGTATGCCGGCTCCATTGGCCAGTAAAGCGAGATGAGTGCCGCAACCCCAGAGTCATCTGCGACTGGACCTAATGGTCAGGGGTCCCTTTACCTTTACCTTTATCACTTGATCAAAGATTCACTCTCAATACAGAGTAGAGAAACAACCAACAGGTAATTAACTAGTTACAGCTCGGAATCCTTTTGAAAAACTCTTGTGGAAAACCCCCAGTGTTTGCAATACACATTTAGCCATATTAAGCTTTCATTAATACATATACATTTTTCATTTCTGTGTGAATTAAACCATTAACAGTGACAGTCCCAGATCATTCGGGGGGGGGGCAACCTGGTCTGGAACTATCAATCCAATCCAATTCCTAATCAGGCTGGTTCCATTTGAGATCTCCACTGTTCTTCAATTCTGCCTCCTAGTTCTAACTTGCTTTTTGGTATTGGGATTTCTCCTCAGTCTTGCCTCCTGATTTGCCCCATAGCTCCTCTTCCCTTCTCCTGCCTCCCCCCAGATTGTTGCCCATGGCCCAGACCTAAGAGAATTGAGCCAACTGTCCCTGAGATAAGACTGTAAATTCCAATAAACCAAATGAGCAAATGTGTAGGAGAAGGCTGTTTGCATGCAGAGAGTCAAACTCACTATTGATTTATACCCCTTGCAAGCCAGCAAGGCGCTGCAGGATGTTAAGTCATGATAGAATTTGGTCCAGTGGGGAGTTTTGCAGCAGCTAATCTTGAGAGTATAAAACCGTTTCTCATCTTAGCAGCTTTTTTCCAGGTGTTTTCTGAATCAAATTATCGTTATTTCCCTCCAAGGCAAATTGGAATCTTTCTGCAGATTTATCTGCAATGATTTGGGAAATCTGTTGCCTTAAGGGTTTATTTAGGGTTCTTCAGTGTCCATAAAGAACATACAATTGACAAGAAGAACTTTGGTTTGCCAAAGAGAAAACCATTTACATAAAGATTTACAGTCTCGTGTGAAACTTTTGCAAATAGAAAAATAAAAGGTTGTGAAAATGAGTTCCCAAGGCCCAATTTCTTTTTTCTGTAACTTCTTTCAGTTTGGGGAGCCAATGGATTGAACCGTATTTCACTGCTGCTGGAAAGCTGCAGAATTAAAATGGAGACCAAAAGCCAAACAAACAAAATACAAATCTAACTGGGTTCATGCCCAGTGGGAGAATTGCTTGTGGTTAGAGAAGGACAGTTGCATTGAGAAAGTTAAGCACAGAAAGTGATGCACAGTGGCGTTGTACTACTCTCGAGCAAGACACGCTAGAAAAAAATAATAATCCAAGTTCAAGGCTGTAATCTTAAAACTCTGGGTACACTAACATGGGAGCAAATGCCATTGGACTTACCAGGACATGCATCCAGGTGACATGGGTTTTTTTTATTTTATTTTAAAGTTTCATGCCCTGCCTTCCAATCAAGCAATTCTCAGGACTTATTATCAATAGACTGAAATACATCACACAAACGCAAGCATGCCCCAGCAACCCTTAGCCATCTTGCCGATGAATGGGCCCAACAGATGTTTTCCTTTGGTTCTGCTGTCCCAGGTGGACTGATATTTGAACCTGAGTGCTCTTTCTAGGAGGGGTGGGGAAGCAAACACTTTACAGCTGGTCTTTCTCTCTCTGTCTTACACACACACACACACACACACACACACACACATTCAGGGGTGGAGAACCCCTCTCAGCCTGAAGCCAGCATTCCCTCCTAGTTAACCTTCAATGGGGCTACATGCCAGTTGTCTGGAAACAAAAGTGGGTTGAGCAACAAATGTTAACATACCACATTTTTCCATGTATAAGACGAGGATTTTCTACAGTAAAATAATGTTTAAAAACGGGGGTTGTCTTATACACGGATAGTGCATGGGGGGGGGGAGACTGGTGGTTGGTTGCAACTGCTATCTTGTCAGCGATGCTTTGGTATGTGATTGTTGGCTGAGGCAAGGGCTGCTTTTGATTGGCTGCTGCTGCGGTAATTTGGTGTGTGATTGGTTGTTTCGTCAAGGGCTGCTGTGGATTGGCTGCCGCTGTGGCAATTGGGCGTTCGATTCCCATCAGCTGTTGTCGAGTGGGCAGATGCTTGTTGGGTTTTGCGAACGCAATTGATTGTCAGCGATTGTTAGTCGGGTCAGTGATTTTATGCATCCCCCCAAAAAAACTCAACAACCTTGGGTAATCCCGCCCCCCAAAAAAGCTCCACACTCTGGGCAATCCTCCCCTGAAAAAGCTCAACAACTTTGGGCTATCTCCCCCCATTTTCTTAAATTTGAGTGCCCAGAAATAGGGGGCGCCTTATACACGGGGGCATGTTATACACAGAAAAATACGGTACTTGCCCATCTCTCTCTCTCTCTCTCTCTCTCTCTCTCTCTCTCTCTCTCCTCCACTTAGGTAAGCAAGAGCACGATCAGAGTTCAAGGGCTTGCCAGGCAAAAGCACACAAGGCGAGTGCAAATCAGCATTACACAATACTGACTCCCATGGGGCGTTACTGTTAGGATATTTCCGTTCCACCTTAAAAGGGAGCAGGATGTTTGTGTCACAGCTTGCGTATTTCCTGTTTCACAGGATGTTTCTGTTGTGTCTTTGCTTTCGTTTCTCTCTTCGTGCCTGAACGCTGAAGCAGGCGGTCATGTTTTTTCTTTGTTCTGACCAACGCTGAATAAACTTGTAAATATGCTCTCCTGCGTGCATCTTACGCTGTGCATTATCTGCTGATAAGAGTGTGCACCAGCCCTGGAATGTGCCAAGCTATTTTCTGGAGCTTGTGTCGCTAATTGCTGATACTGCGTGTCTACGGGAGATCGATGGACGCTCCGGAGGCGACGTGGGGCCATGATGGACTTTGTCTCCCTGGCAGTATCCCAACAGTTACATCCCATGTTTCTCCTGAGGACGGGCAGACGGAAGAACCTTAGTTCAATGGCAGAGCAAATGATTTGCATACAGAAGGTGTCAGGTTTAATCTTCAGCAGGTTTCTGAAGTAACGCATTTGGAAAACACCCTGGAGTTATTGGTATCAAAATGGGAAGTCCTCAAAATGTATTTAAAAAATAATTATAGCAGCTTAAATTCTGTTGCAGCATTTGATTAATTTCAGTAGTAGTTTTAAGAAGACCTAAGACTAACTAAGAAGCAGTTTAATCATGATAATAGTTTGTATCAGCAACAAGTTTTGTGTGCAGTATTTGAACCAAGGAGTAGACGGGAAGTCATTTGTGTTTTTCATTTGGTTTTGTAATAACTTTATTTACTTTCTGTACGGTATGGGTGTAAAGGTTGTCTTTTTTCTTTTTCCTTTGTTTGTTCTCTCTATTTCTGTAATAATTCAATTTTAAAAAAAGAAAGAAAAGGCCCTGGAGAGACGCTCTGGATGACCACCACCTGTCGTTCAGACCGGACAACACTGAGATAAATGGTCTGACTCAGTTTAAAGCGGGTTCCTATGTTAATATATGTCAGGAATGAGAACAGGAGTGGCTAACTTGTGACCTTCCAGATGTTGATGGATCCCAGCTCCTATCATCCCTAACTATGGGCCATGCCAGCTGGCACTGATGGGAACTTTGTGGCAGATGTTAATATTGTGCAGCTTCAAGCGATGCTGACACAAAACCCCACATATATTAAGTATACATCGCCACCCGACCCCACCCCCACCCCCACTCACCTTTCACACCCCCCACCTCTTTCACCCTCTTCTTCCTAATGTCTCAACAAATGAAACTGATCTGTAAAAAATGTTACTTGGAAAAGAGAGAGAGAGAGAGAGAATACACATACTTTTGTAAACCAAGAAAATCTTTAATAAAAATACGTAAAAAAAATATTGTGCATCTTGAAGCGACTGGATACACAAAACGGACTCCTCTTGGGAATAAAACACAAGCCCATAAATTTAATTAAAGCTTTACCTGCAGAACTTTCCTCAAAACAGAAGAGAAAATAGTAAATGATACACCCAAAATACCCATTAGAACATGTGCAAGTCCAGCACAGGCTCAGCTTCTTATAAAATGTGAAAGACTCCAAAAATCAGAGGTCATTCTCTCTCCCCACAATCTCCATTTTGTCTGGAGAAGGTCATTTGCACGTCCTTACTTCCACAGAGCCTTCTTTTGATCCATCACCACAATTCTTTTGAGGTAGATCAGGGGTCGGCAAGGTTTACCGGGCCAGACCACTCCTGTGGAGATCCTCCGTGGGCCGGGCCGGCACAATGTGACACCGGAAATCAGTGGCGTAGCGTCGGGGGTGCAGGGGGGGGCCAGCCACACCGGGCGCAACATCTGGGGTTAGGGCAAATCCACGGGTTAGGGGGCGCAAATTACTTGCCTTGCCCCGGGTGCTGACAACCCACGCTACGCCGCTGCCGGAAATCTTGTCTGTGCATGTCCATGGCCGCAGAAATTGCTTCTGCGCATGCCCAGATGCCGAAAATCGTGCCTGTGCAGAAGCGATTTTCAGCATCTGGGCATGCGCAGAAATGATTTCTGGCACCACAGACATGCGCAGACATGATTTCCAGTGTCTGGGCATGCGCAGAAGCGATTTCCGCAGCCGCGGAAGAGAGTCCCCATGCCGCGCTGCACCGGTTTAGCACAGCACACGGGGATTCGCCGAGCGGGCGGCTTGCTTCGGGTGTGGCTCATGGACTGGTTAAACAGCCTTCATGGTCTGCTTCCAGCCCATTGGCTGCAGGTTGGGGACCCCTGAGTTAGATGTTCCCAGAGCTAACTGGACTAACGCACCATGGTTTTCATGTTTTAGGAGGTGCAAACCTGGTATCCTGTGGAGGTGCTGGTTACGTGAGGTTTTGGAACACGCAGAGAGGGAAGCTGCTGGCAGAGTTTGAAGCCCATAGCGGGGTGGGATCCATTATCATGTCCATTGATGAAAGAAGCCAGTACCTCATAACAGGAGACCTGGTTGGATGGGTGAAGATCTGGAACATAGAGGTAAGTGGAAAGAGTCATACATCAGTCGAGAAGAGGTGAGGCAGACTGAAAAGTAATAAGCTTCTATTCAAAATCATGGCCGAAGCATGGTGCATTTAGTTTCCAGCCTCTTTTGTGTTTCTTTTTTCCTTTTTTAAAAAAGTATTATCTGATGTAAATCATTCCAAGTAACATAACTAGCAGCACTGCCCCAACTAGGGCTTAGTCAAAGCAGGTTCCATGACATGGTAGTTGAGCCAACGGTCTGAGGCGGTTATATTTGCCCGGCGGAATTTCCAGAAATATCTGAAATTTCTGGGAAAACCCAGACATATGCAACCCGTGTTGGAAATGTTGATTTCCCCCCCTGGCAAATTACCTTAAAAATAGCTCAAAAACCTCTCTCTTTTTGAGATTTTGCCAAAAAAGTTCAACAACTTTGGCCAAAAAAAGCTCAACAACTTATGTGTCTGGACTTCCACTTTTTGAAATATGGCAATCCTAGCTTAGATGGCCACATTCATAGAGGGTAAGTCTGTTAGCTATGGAATCTTCATGTCCTCAGGCAGTTTCCCTTCAAATAACAGTCCATGACAGTAGATGAAGGTGGACATTCTGAGAAGCCTCCATCTCAAACCCAATGACCAAATGTGGCTCTCCAGGCCTCTTTATATAACACTTGAGGTGCTCACTAGGCCACACCTCATTTCCCCAGGCGAAACCCTTTGTCCGCACCTCATCCATGTCCTCCTTGGGGGCTTCTACCTGCCTGGAAAGTGTCCTTTAACTGGATGAATGATGGAGAAGTGTAGTTGCGTTGGGTAGAAACCTATTTATATGGCTGGAATGTAGCCCATTGTACAAAGGTAAGAGTCACACCCACCAATCTGCCCATTTTTGCCTCTGGTCACACCAACCTCTGGCCCCCCAGAAGCTGCTCAGAAGTCCCCAGAAGAATGTGGCCTTTGGCCTGGAAAAGTTCCCCAATCCTGCTATAGGCTATTCTCTCTCTCTCTGCGCTAGATATGACCCAGTAGCCAATTTCAGATTTGCAATGCAGCCCCCCCAGCCAAAAATCATTCCCAAGCCTTGTCCTTTCTTTCTAATAACCTTAGCACTTGCTTCTTTTCCTCCTCCCACAAGGATTACTGCCTTATTTTGGGAGAAAATGTGAATTACCAGCCACCCACTCTGATCAGATCTTTCCAGATGCACGACGATTGTATCACTTATCTGGAGACCTGTGTACGAAACAACTGCCTCTTTATCCTCTCGTCTTCGGCAGACTGCAGCATTGTTCTTACTGATATTTCTGGCGTTCTGTTTGGAATATTTGGGCAGGTAGGAAGGTGGCTGTTTTCACTGTGTTTTTGACATTACTATTTGCTTCCTCTCAGCGTTGCACTCATTACCATCATTTAAGAATAAAAAGTTGTCAAGGATTCCTGCGGAGATCTTTCCCCAGGGGAAGGCACATAAAGAGCAATCTCATATATAGTGTGCCAGGTTTTCTCTCCCTTGCCAAAAATACATAAAGCAACAACTCACAGGGACTTTGGCACATCTCCCCGTTAAATGCGCCAAAGGCAATGTTTGAAATTGCAGAGAGGTAAAAGCTTTCCTCAAAGCACGTATAACTCAAAGAAATAATTGGATGGGTCGTAATTTGTCTAAATAAAGCGGTGATGTTGAGAGCACTGCAAATCCTGAATGTGAGACACAGCTGATATAAACTCTATGACCTTATTTTTTAATACACTCTCATTGGCCAGCTATAGCAGTAGCAGCTTTTAAGACATCAGCTATTAGGACGTTAATGCCCAACCCGTCTTTGGAGATGAGTGCCTCACATTTATTAAGCCAATTCAAAGTGGTTTCATTATTGGATTGTTCAAAAAACCAGCAACACCACCCCATGGTTTCTGGAAGTCTGATGTCTGGCATATTTTGCAGCTTCAGGCATTGCAACAGCAGGACAATGTTTGTTTTAGGCAAAACAATTTCCAGAGAGGTATGCTTCAAAGAGTGGCAAAAAAACGTATCAGGGTTTATCTGACAGGGATGGAAGCCCAGAATAAAACAAAGTTATGTTTGATAGAAAAGAAAGAGGAGGCTTCACTCTACTGGACTTCCAAATCTACTTTGAGGCATCATGTTTATGGTGGATAAAATATTGGATATTGTTGGAAAATACCAGTGTTAAATTTGGAAGGACATGATATACAATTTGGGTAGCATGCCTACATATGGTATGGGAAGGCCAAAATGTATAAAATCTCTACAAACTATGTGATCAGAAAAAAAATATACAGAGTATGGGGAAAGTACAAAAATCTATAAGAAAAGAAAACACCAATGTGGATATCCCCAACTGAAGGAAAACAACAAATATGGATAAACTATGATTAACATATAAAGAAATCCTAGATCTTACAGGACAGGAACCAAGGCTGAACAATCCTGAGGAATTAAAAAATGTATTAATGCATTGGTTACAGATACATCAGATTAACGAACTGTTTAAGATAGATTAGAAAATTGGATTTGCAGAACAAAAATCCCAAATTACAATGGATTTATTAGATACAAAAATAAAAGTATTATCAAAAATGAACAAACTGCTGCTAGAGTGGGAAACAAAAGAGGAATTGGTGAAATCAAGTATGATTAAGTGGACACAGGAATGTGGGTCATAATATTAATTATGAGCTATGGGAGAATTTATGGAAAGTAAATATGAATTTTACGGCGTGTTGCGCTGTAAAAGAAAATATGATGAAAATGACCCACAGATGGTACTCAACACCTGCCAAACTAGCAAAAATGTTGGGACTGCAGCCTTAGTCTCCTGAACAGGAGATGGAACACATAGACCCTCCACCAGTTCTCTGATGAAAATATGGATGTCCTACCATAACCTCCAACATTTCTCCAGTGAAAATAGGGATGTTCTAAGGAAAAGTGGGACATTCTGGGATCAAATCAGAAACCAGGACGGCTTCTGTAAATCCAGGACTGTCTCTGAAAAATACGGACACTTGGAGGGTCTGAGATGGCGAAGTTCTGATACGTGTACTGTACCCTCTGTTCCTTCTTAGGAAGGACATTGGAGGATTGGAAATCATGTTCCATCCTTCCTCAAGGAAGAAAACAAGTATGACACAGAGGAGGAGAATGATATTAAAAAGAACACCGTATCCTTGGTTGAAGAGGAAGAGCCTCCCCCTATTCCAGTGGAACAAGCTGTACCTGTTACAGAGGATAACGACAACTTCGCATGTGTGTAAGTAATTTCCCTAAAAGCATGATTTACAGTGACACGTTTGGAAAAAGGGAGGCTATTAAGACAGAGCCAAAGTATATAATTATCAGGAGCTTCCTTTCAGAGAGAAAAATTTAAATAGGCCTGGCCAGGAAATGGATTTCTTGTAGGAGATCAGAATCTCCACCCCACCAGTAGCAGTTTTTCCTTGGGGTCTAAGTCAGAAAGGTTTGAGGAAGAAATATATGATGCTGGAGAATTTCGTCCGGGAATGTTTGGGCCATCAAGTGAAGAGAAGCCGTTTCCTCTAAGCTTTCAGGGTAGGTATTAACGGCTAGTACATGTTTGCTGAAATGAGCCAACTCTACAGGGCCTGAGAGCTCCATTTTGCAGCAGATGCCCTTTTGACTTCAGAGGTATCTCAGGATGGCAGCCAGGGAAATGGCCTTCTTCATGGTGGCACCCAAGTAGGGATGGAAGAGAAATTCTATTCAGTTTGCATTTAAAGGCACATCTACCTAATTTGCACTTCCCCAAACACAGCCATCCTTCAGATTTTTGCCATGCTGTTTTCTAGTCAAGTAATGTGCACAGAAATGCATATACTAGGATAATGTATGCATTAAGAAACATAAATTAGTAAAAAAACACAACAGTGCATTATATCAGGAAGTGTTGTGTTGCAGAAATGTGTATATTAGGCAATGCAAACAGATGTATATTAGAAGAAATTCAAACTAAATTGCTGCTGAATTTTCATGAGAATGTGGTTTTTCTTAAAACCACAAACTAATGTGGAAATGTGTATAAATGATTTTCCTCAGGTAAAGTCACATGCCATCCTCACTTATACAGTCAGTTTTGGGTCCCAGATCAAGGCTCTCTTATTTTCCAAGAAATTGTAACTGGTAATTATTGTGACGTTTAGTTCTGGCCACCCAATGATTTTATTTTGCCTTTTCTCTCCTGATCCTGTGTATACTGTACAAGGCAAGTATTTCCTTTGGCCCCTGACACATAGCAGCCCAATACATTGCAGCAAAAGCTTCGACCATGGCATAAAAGCACAGGAGCAGGGCGAGGAAGGAAGGTGGCAGTCCTGTGTGCAGATATTCCATGACAACGTGCTGCGTTCTGCTTTAGAAATAGGTTTTACAGCATCCTCATTTCATAGCAGTGATATACAGAAATACTCTTTATGACAAACTGGTCTAATTTTGCGCTTCTAACGGCTGAGAGGTTAGAGGTGCGAGGCTCTTTGATTCCGAATGAGCTCATACATTCTAAAATGTATAAATCTTTCATGGGGCTTTGTAATGTATACTGTGCCAGAGCATAAGAACAGTAAAATTAAACTCTGGCTAAGTGCTTCCTCAGTTTTAAATAACTTCCTTGATGTAACATAATGAAGCCTTTGTATTATTAAACATTTTAATAACCTTGGGCGAAAGAATGTAACCTTCCTATACTGCCACAGCCCCCCAGGGAATAATTCCTATGACCCTTTTGCCTGGAGCTTGATGCACTTGGGCAGGAAAAGATGCTGAGCACAGCAACAGTTGAGGATCCGCACAGCAGGATCGGTGCTGATGGTTGGTGTGCAACTGGTGTGCTGGTTTCAGGAGACTGATTTGCTCAGTGTCGTCTCATGTCCTAAGGCAGGAACGGAAAAGGAATTTGGTTTTCAATGCACCCCCTGCCTGATTTGCTCTGACCAAAACAATATGCAAACCAAAGCAAGGCTATTCTTCAAAACATACCCTCTGATTTTTTTGGTGCGGTTTCCCAACCCAAAAATGTCTACCAATTAAACGCACGTATTAGGAGGAATTGTGTGTAAAAACGCATACATTAGCAAAAATGATATCGAGGTTGTTTAAATAATTAAGACTGCAGTCCTGTGCACATTTATCTGGAATTTAGCTCCATTGGTGCTGACTCCCAGCTAAATGTGCATAGTACTGGTGCTGCAAACCAATTAAAGATTTATTTTGTTCACTTGAAATATTTAAATATATTGAAGCCTCTTCTGTGAAGAAGCCTCGTCTCTTGACAATTCTTTGATTTAGCCTTACAGCATGGTCTCAAACTTTAGGTTCACCTCTGTCTCATCCTGAGAGCTTCTGTTTGGGTGTTATAGGAATCTGACAACACTCAGCATTGGCGCTATGAAATATTTTCTTTGGCTGCTTTGTTTGATTCATCCATCTGATTTGTTCAGCCCTGTTAAGCCGACTGAGAGGGATGGATAGTGAACTCCACTTCAGGGTAAACATACCATTTGGCCTCTAATCCTAGTGCTCTGTTATACCATTAAATAAGAGTGGATGCATCTTCAGAAGTTGTGATCCTTTGTACACAGAAGGTCAGTTCAGGAAAACTATAAAACTAATTGTGGAATGTCAGTTCATTTTGCTTCCTGATTTCTGTCTGTCCAGGCTGAATATATGGGACAACACAATATTAGGTAAAAGATACAAAGAGGGGAAAACACAGAAGAAAAGAAAACATACCCTTTTCAACAGAACTGCTGTGATAAAGCCAACAGGTATGTCATTAATTTGATGAATTCAGCAACATTTGGGCATCTTAGTGGATGCAGCCAATCCGTTGGCTTAAAGCAAGGGTGGGCATCCTTCAGCCTTAATGCAGTCCCAAGTCCAAAAGCAGTCTCAAGCAATCCATTCAGACCTGGGGAGCGGCTATAGCTCAGTGGTAATAGTATCTGCCTTGCATGCAGAAGATCCCAGGTTCAACCCCCAGCATCTCCAGGTAAGGCTGGGAGAAATTCCTTGCCTGAAACACCTGGACAATAGTGAGCTAGATGGACCATTGATCTGACTTGATATAAGGCAGCTTCCTATGTTCCTTACCTATGGCAAGAGCCACCAGTCCTTGTTGAGTTGAGTTGAGTTTGGATTTGATATCCCGCTTTATCACTACCCTAAGGAGTCTCAAAGCAGCTAACAATTTCCTTTCTGGTTGGGGAAGAAGAAAAAGAAAAAGGAAGAAGGGATAGGCTTCTGGCCCCACCCATTCCTGACTTTGACCCTCCCACAGTTGGCATGTGACTTCTGATAGATTGCACCTGAGGGAATCAGGCCCACAAAAGAAAAAATGGTTGCCCATCCCTGGCTCAAAGAAATGAATATTTGTAGAAATCGATATTCGTAGAAATTGCTGCTACTGCTATGGGAGTTTGGAGTTTTGTGAGAGCATGGGATGTCCCACACTGGGCCTGCATACAATGTGGGCTGCTGATGTATTCCATCCTTGATGCAGCGCCTCCCACCCAGTGCTATTTTTCAAGGAAAAGAGGGGCCAGAACTCACCATGAATGCCTCCCTTGTTCTCCTATAATGGCAATGGCACCCACCTGAGAGGTGAACCCCTGCTCACACCTCATAGAATGCCATGCCTTCACTCCCCTCACATTTTGCGGGGGGCAGGATTGGTTTGGGGGATGGAATGCAGGAGACTGTCACTGGAAGGAAATAGCTGAAAAGCCCCAGCATGGCTTGTTGGATCCCAGCCAAGGGATAAATTGCAAGAACTAGTCAAGAACTTCCAATGATGGGGAACCTCAATGAAAAGAATCATATTTATCTTATGTAAATGGCAGATTTCGTGACGTCTGCTTGGAAAACTTGCCTGTTGATTAAAATTAAGGGTTATGGCCCTCCCTTTCTTAATGCAGAAGATTAAGAGTTTTCCTTGGCAGAACTTAATAAAAAATGGCCAGTGAATCTCGCTGCATATGTATCTGTGTTTATCCAGCTGAATATTTCTCAGTTGTGGAAGTGGCATAGTATGATTAGGCACAAAACATTAGCTTTGCTTCAACTGCAATTGTGCTGATATGTGAAATGATTTTCTGCCTTTGGAATAATCCTCTGGTTTGAAAAGTTGTATTTAGGTCATTAAATATTGAAGCCCTGGAGGAGACGACAGAAATGAATGAGAGCGACTTTCTTCTGCACCCTGACAAATACTTTGGGGGAAAGTTGGCGGAGAAGGACTCTGAAGATTTAAAGCTGCCTACCCTTTCGGCAAGTAAGTAGACCTTCATTATATCCTCATTACTCTAGCTCCTGCTAGCAAGAGGCAAAAATAAAGGTCACTAGCTTATCTCTCTTAAAAGAAAGTAACGGTAATAGGAAAGTCTAGAATTTATCACTTGGCCACTGGCAAGCCTTTGAGGATGCGACAAGCCAGGAAGTTGCTGGAAGCAGGCAATCCAAGCCGTAAACAAGGTTGGCATGTTAAATATGTCACTTGCCGTGGTCAAATGGTTAGGGCGCTTGCAGAGCAAGCCTGCACTCAAGCTGTGACCACTGAAGGATCAAAGGGGATGGTGGATGCTCAGTTACTCTGCTGGGATAGGAGATAGGCTGCTGCTACCATGACAGATAGTATTGGGCAGACAAATGAATATGCATGGTTAAATGGTGGAATTTGCTCCCATGAGATGTTTTCTGTACATGCAACATCTTGTAGGAGGTGTTCATCATTGTTATCCAGGATGGCCTGAAGCGGATGTTGAGCTTGTGGTCCAGTCCCTGCCTTGAGTCAGCCACAGGTGGATTTCAGAACTGCTAGACTCCTTTGCTTTGTAGCTTTGCCCAGCCAAAGATACGAGGACCGTTTTGCTGGCCAGAGCAAAAGTCTCCAGGAAGGAGCTCCAGTTCATGGGCAGCCCCCAAGTAGGAGCGGCAGGAGGGAGCTGCCTCTTGCTGTTGGTAGCTGATCACTGGAGGTCTTTTGCATGAACACAAAGGGGCTTGATGAACTGCTTTATCCCAATTCCTTTAAGCCCAGTATTGGCCAGCCTGACCCACAGTAGATCTGCACAGGCTGAAGTGGTGCTTTCCCTAGGCCTGCTGCCCAAGATCCTTCTGAGTATGTGTCTTCCCTTCCACAAAACAACGACATCACACCTGTTCCTGGTTTCTTACCCCTCCCTCCCTTCTTCTAGCCAGTTTTTAAAGGAAGTCCTTTCTTTTTACTCAAAAACAAGTGAACATCTGCCCACACGGAATTCTTTAACAGCAAACATCACTTAAAAAAAATAAAATAATTGTTGACAAAAGACCCTTCCACTGCACCCAGAAGAATTCCACTCATTTCTCTCTCTCTCTCTCCCCCCCCCCACCTTGGATAATTTTTGAATGTGATTTCTGAACACAAGTACCCTCAAGGATGGGCAACCACAGGTCTGAGGGCTGAAGGTGGCACTCCAAGTCAGGTCACACACACTTCTAAGACACTCCATCAGCCCTCAGTGAGTGTTCTTGAATTCTGATAATGTTTCCTGCTTGCCTGGATGGCAGAAAAAGACAGGTGCATTAGAGTGTGCAGAAACTAGCCAACTTTTCTTGCTGGCACCTGTCCATCTCAAGAGACAATGGAGTGCGCCTCTGGGGCGTAAGTCAAACTGCTGTGTTAGCAGCTCCAAAGTGACCTCCTCGGGGCGCAAGCCTGGGCAGTGTGTCTGGACATCCTGGGCTGTTCAGAAAACAAGACTCCCCTCTTGGCCTTGCTTACGTGGTCCATGGGAAAGTTGAGAAATATGTTTGGTACAGGCCTGGCAGCAGGAGTTGCTGGAAGGAGGTGCACAAGCCACTATCCAACCATCTTAGGGACTCCACTCTGGATTTGTGTAGGGTTTACTTATTAGCCCTTTCTTCTCCTGAATATGTCTCTCAAGGCAGCAGAGGGTTAGAATCAGAGTTTTCCTTCTCCTGGGTGGGCTACCTTCCTAGGTTGACAAGCCCCACTTGCTCCTTAGCCTACTGTACAAAGGTAAATTTTGTATTCATTGCTCTACTCACCTTTGTCTCTAGCCATACCCACCACTGGTAAGTGGCTCCCTGGAAGGATGCTCAGGAAAAAATGTGGTGCTTGGGCTGTAACAGGTTCCCTACCCCTTTGTTGATTGATGGAGAATAGTTGTGGGGACATCAGAAGAAGTGTTTAGCATAGGGCTGCTCAGAACGGACTGCCTTCGTGACAGCAGATTCTTCACCAAAGGCTTCCTCAGATCTTTCGTAGGCTATAACAGTGAATGGAGCTGGTGCAGGGGAAAGGCTATTTTCATATCTCAGCATCAGCACTCCTGACTTGATAGAGGAAAAAATATATCTTACAGCTAGATAAGAAGAGGCAACAGAGAATTAGATGGAAAGCCCCCTGAGGGGAAAAAAGGAGAGAATTAAATGGGAGTTTATGCTGATGATTCAGCACAGCCCAGTGACAGCCCCCACATGGCTCCAAAAAGCAATTAAAACAATTAAAATATAATCCTTTTGGAGGTTGGATCAATTCCCAAAGAGCTTTTTTGACTAGCCAGGTGCATGATCTCAGTTGGCAAAATGCTGATTTTTCTTTGCTGTCGTTAATCTTGCCAGAATTTTGGATCTTTCCCTGCTCCCCAGGAGCTTTGGATACAAAACGCTATTATTAAATTTATATGAAGCACTTCAGAATTTTTCTCATTAATCCTCCTGAAACTCCTGTTTTAGGCACTAAATAAGCTAACTAAGACTAAATAAGCTTTCATGTTAACTTTCAGTAAGGAGTTTGCAACCATTAAAGATTCAGAAGGTTTTTGTTTTGGTGTCCAGGGTGATCAATCTCTCATTGTCATAAAAATGTGTAAACCTCAATGTTTGCTTTGGAAGTCATATTGCTATGCAGTTTGAGCCCCTCTCCTCACCCTTAAAATGGATGGGGGTGAGTGGAATATTCAAGTGAGGAAGAATACAGCCTCTGAGATGAAGCTCTTTCATGCACCAACTGGACAATATAATTTTGGAGTCAGGGGTGAATCCTAAGTCCTGGATTTGTCTGTTCACTTGAATAGGCACATGGAAGCCTATGTAGCCGAAGTTATGGTTCAGCTGCAGCCACCTTCTTATTCACATACACAGAGATCTAGGTCTGCGGTTTGTGTGGCCTCCAGTGGGTGGGCTAACAGCAGGCAGGAGATCAAGGAAGCAGCGCTGGTCACAGGTGTTTAACCCAGGAGGGAGAGGTGCTTTACAAAGCACTTTAGCAAACTGCTCTGCGAAGCACCTCCCCACTCCTTTAAAAGGGGGTGGAGATTGGCAAAGGGGTTGGCAGGGTTGGTGAGTGAAGTGAGCTGGGGCAAGGCCCCTAATAATTCTACAAGGGAGCGGGTGGTGCTGTGGTCTAAACCACTGAGCCACTTTTGCTTGCTGATCGGAAGGTTGGCGGTTTGAATCCATGCAGTGGGGCGAGCTCCCGTTGCTCTGTCCCAGCTTCTGCCAACCTAGCAGTTCGAAAGCACATCAGGGCAAGTACATAAGTAGGTACCACTACTGCAGGAAGGTAAATGGTATTTCCATGTGCTCTGGCACTCGTCACAGTCCTCCGTGCCCCAGAAGCAGTTTAGTCATGCTGGCCACATGACCCAGAAAGCTGTTTGTGGACAAATGCTGGCTCCCTCGGCCTGAAGCGAGATGAGCACCACAACCCCATAGTCGCCTTTGACTGGACTTAACCGCCTAGGGGTCCTTCCCCCTCTTTATTACCTTTAATTCTACATGAATGAAATTTTATGTAAGTGGTATTATTTGCCAGCTCGATACATGCAACAACAGCTGTCATTCCCCAGCATTTTGGAGCACAGAAAGCCATTAATATAACATGTTAAACCAAAAGGGGGTTTTGTTTCTTAATTGCTATAGGATGACGACTTGCCAATAAATAGGCTGTGTTTTGTATTGCTTTCTTCCTCTCATTCATTTTCATATTCACCACAAGTCTTCTCTCTTCCTCTCTCTCTCTTAAAATAAAGATGAACAGGTCCAGTCGTAATGGGGTTATTTATTAATTTTCTTTATTTTCGTCCTGTAGCCCTGAAAGCTGCATTTGATGAAAAGAACTTATTCCCCAAAGAAATTCTGGACCGTGAAAAAAAATCAAGGCAGCTGCATGAGGAAATGTGCAACAGAGGCAGGATAACAAACGAGAGAAAGCAAGGGAAGTTGAAAGGAAAATGAATCAAGCTTTGCTTCCAAAAAAAAAGGAGGTAGGTATGAAGGATGCCACCTGGTGATGACATGAGGCAAGCGTTGGCCCGTTGAGAAGGAGGCAGGGGAAAGAGTCTAAAGACAGCTTCTGAGATGATAAAGGGGTTGGGTGGGTAATTCCTCTAAAGAAAGTCTACAGACCCTGCGCGTGAGAGAGCTTCCCTAGATAAAAGATAGGGACAACAAAATTCCCTTGGAAATCATGGATTTGTCCACCAAGGAAGCCCCCACTGTTTGCTATGCAATTGCTTTGCCATGGAACTGAAAACTGAGACACAATGTTGTGTAATGGTTAGAGTGCTTGACTTCTTGCTGGACCTTGGTCTTCCTCATCTGTCAAATGGAGCCAACATCCCCTGTTAATGCCGAATTCCTTAACCATATAAACTCCCACCCTCCCTCCGTGTGTGTGTGTGTGTGTGTGTGTGTGTGTGAGAGAGAGAGAGAGAGAGAGAGAGAGAGAGAGAGAGAATATATTTGACTTGCTTTATAGTCTATGGCAGGCTTCCTCAAACTTGGCCCTCCAGATATTTTTGGCCTACAACTCCCTAGCTAGCAGGACCAGTGGTCTATGGCTTGCTTGCCTGCTTTTGTCACCTGGAGCCATCTACCTCTCCTGGTTTTCTGCTTGCATCTGGATTGTGTTGACCTTGTCCTGCTGGACTTTGATCGCTGCCCCTCCCACTCATACACTGGAGTGTGTCCCTGTGAAATGCCAGAGGATCTGCCAGGGGTGTTAAGCTTAGATGAGATGCCCTCCCCCTGTTGTTAAGAGCGGGGCAATTTTCAGCCGTAACTCAGTTCCAGTACCTCTCAGGTGAGCACCATTGCTATTATAAGGGAACAAAGGAGGTGTTCATGGCGAATTCCAGCACCTCTTTTTCCAGAAAAATAGCACTGGTTCGGAGTACACAGCTTGCGTCCTGTGCAGTCACAGAATGTCCTGTTCTCTTTTAAAAAGAACTTTGCCTGTTACACCCAATAAATAATACATTGTACATAATCTCGGCTCCAGTACATTGATATTACATTTTGTTAGGTTATAATATATCATATTACAATGCTTTCTTGCAAAACCCTTGCTTCTGTCTCGCAAATTGGATGGAAACAGTTGACCCAGATCACCTTCTCCTCCTTGTCTCTGCCCCAGTTCTTTAAGCTTCACCAAAAGAATTAGCCATAAACTAATTCTGATGCTAATACTTTTTTTGTTTTTAAAAGCCTTTCTGGTCCCCCTCTCCCTTTAATATCTTAATGCATCCTTGATCATTTGTGTGGTTTTGCTCTCTCCACTGCATGCTTATTATTGGTCTACATTTGCTTGATAATGGGGCCTCTGAAGGGATGCAGCCAGACATCCTCACTAGGGCCATGGCTCAGTGAGAGAGCAGGTCCCTGGTTCAATTCCTGGCATCTTCAGGTTGGGCTGGGAGAGTTCCTGACCTGAAACCCTGAAGAGACACTGCCAGTCAGTGCAGACAATAGTGAGCTAGATGGACCAATGGTCTGACGGGGTACAAGGCAGCTTCCTATGTTCCTAAGGGAAAGTCGCCTTTTTCTGGTTGGGGCTTTGAAGAATGGAGAATCAGTGGAACCAATGTGTCAGATGCTGATGGTGGTTGCGTGTGAGTAACCAGGCAGGACTCTGACCTGTCTTTTGCAGGTTTTATTGTGCAAACTAGATAGATAGATAGATAGATAGATAGATAGATAGATAGATAGATGATAGATAATTTATTACGGTCGGACACCAACTGTGCAAACTATTTACAGTGCAGATCTACAAAGTTCATGTCCATCTTAGTCACTTGCAGAATCCGGGAGTGGCCCCTTCCTGCTTCTCCCTCAACATAAGAACTTTGGCACCCCAAGCCTCCTCCTCCTCCTCCCCTCCTTGCTTTTCACCCCTCTGCGCAAGCTGGGCGACGGAAGTGGCATGCATCCCTCCTTGCCAGCCTGGCAAGGTGAGGCCCTGGGGTTCTCAGCAGCATCCTCAAGCCCTTTCCTCGCTTGGCTGGTCCCTTCCCTCTCTTCTCCACTGGAGGTGTGGCTTTTCCCACCGCTGGAAGAGGAACTGCTCCTCAGGGGTTTCAGAGGCTCTCTGTATCCCAACGCCCCCCCCCCGCCTCCCTCCCCTGTTCCGATGGCAGTCCCCTGACACAATGGAACCAATGGATCTGTTCTGAGCATGACTAACACTGGATAGAAGTTGTATAAACTAAATAAACTTACACTATGCTTCACCTAAGTGGAAACAAGGAGTCTTTGTGTTGTACAAACCTATTCACTTCATTCTCAATATTTCTTTTCCTTTGCTAGAGCAAGGTTTTGCACAGCATTGCTAGACCCTAGAAGAAAAATGGTTTGAAGAACAGTTAACCAAATCAAAGGACGACAAGAAGCTTCAAAATCCAAATTCAGAATGAAAAAGTGCATTTGTGTCGTACATTCAGAATATAAGTTTTGCTTCTTTTCTTACATTTATTATGGATTAAAGGTTTGTCTGCTTTTTGAGATGCAGCAAAAAAAAAAAAATGATGAAAAAATGTCAGCACTGCAGGCCTGAATCTTCTGCCTGCCATGTACTTGTGATTTGTTTATGTACTTGAGAAAAAGCAGACAAGAACTGGAAGCCATTTCCTTTATTGAAGAAGATTGTCTTAATAGCAATTCATTAAAGATATTTATGCAGTTCTCTGCTCATGTAATGAATATTTAACCATTCTGAAAACAAAGGTTCAGAAATCCAAAGTTATTGCTCCTCTAGGTGAGGTTGATTTCACACGATCGTTTGTTTTTGCCCAGTCCAATTTTCAAATAGGGCAGGAGTGGTGAACCCCCATCCTCGGGACCTGATCAGTCCCCTAAGTCTTTTTTGGGGGGTGGGGGGTTTGCTAAGACTTCACAAACTTTGGTGGCAACAGCAAAAGGACAAAACAATGTTAAGTAGACACAGCACTGATTAGGGATGGGCAAATATGTCAATTTCAGTTTCTCAGTTTCCCAGTTGTTCAATTCTTCATATTTCTGCTTGATATCTGGTAAGCCCAACACCACCATGGGGAGGACTCTGCATCTTCTAGAAGGGCCCACTGGGGAAGTCCACTGAGTGCACTTTGACCAGGGCCTCCTGAAACCTGATACTGGCCCTGAACTTGGAATAAGACTTGTGCATTTCATTAAGGCCTCTAGAGCTTATGCTCTGTTCAAACCAGGACTGAGTGCTTCCAGTAAAAATAGATTCCGGTGCTAAACGCTGTCTCAAACTTAAGCCCTCAAGGACTCTGGCCAATTGCTACATGTAGACTTTCCTTCTTAAACACCCCTGCATCATTTCTGCCCATTTCAAAATGTATCTATGCACATGTCCGTAAGGATATACACAATTAAACCATTCAGCTAGCTGAGCGTTCACTGGACAGGTGGATATGACCATTTATGCCCCAGCGTTCACTAGGGGAGCAATTTGTATAAATAACTTTTCCAGCCAATAACCCAAGGTAAAGCAGCAACAAATTGGACTGGATTCTGGGGCTCCTCGTGAGATTCGCGGTTGTCGTTTCCATTCTGCTGGAACGCTTACAAACGGCCTGATGTTCGAGCCTCTTGCAAAGCGAGCTGCTTGGTTTATCTAACAGTGCAGCACTTTGGGAAGAAAAGCAGCCTTTCATAACACATTCGGCGACCACCTGTTACGTGCCCGCCTCATTAATCAAGCGGCTTTTCCCAATAAATGTTGCCATGTAAACGCCCTTGGCCTTCTCCTCGATCTTTGCATTACTCGACAGCCTACGCTGGATGCACAGACCTTCTGCAAATCGCTGAATGGTGAATATTATGCAGCCGTTTTCCAGGTACGTGCCTTTTATATGCGCTGATAAAGTCATTAAAAAGTGGAGGGGGGAGATGGCACAATCGTGGCAGCTATGAATGCAAAGCTCAAGTGACTTATAAGCCCTACCTTTCGTTGCCATGTCATTTTCCTTTCTTTCACCGTGGTTACAGGGAGTATTTCTGCTTTGCTCTTTGCATTAAGTTTGCAGCAGAAAGTGATCCCGCTCCTGAAGAGTTCACACGAGTCCATTTCTAAATAAGTAATGATGTTGTTCCAGCTTGTGCTGAAATATCCTGCCTTTGGTAGCTCTGCTGGAGGCATCTAGGTGGCTTCCCCAGTACAGAAATATGAAGAAGCAAAGCAGGGACTGAATTAGTTCAGCCATGCAGGACAAGTGATTCATGGACACAGTGTCTCTCCCTTCCTTCACTTGGTCTGTAATGGACTTTGCCTTCTCTTCTGGCTTGTGGAGAAGGGCTGGCCCTCCAAAGGCTGGTAGACTCCATCAACCCCAGCCAGCATGGGCAGAAGTCAGGGCTGATGGGGAGTTGGAATCCAACAACATCTGGGAGGCCTCAGCTTCCCTATCCCTGCTGTAAAGTGAGTACAGTGGTACCTTGGGTTAAGTACTTAATTCGTTCCGGAGGGCCGTTCTTAAGCTAAAACTGTTCTTAACCTGAAGCAACACTTTAGCTAATGGGGCCTCCTCCTGCTGCTGCGCCGCTGGAGCATGATTTCTGTTCTCATCCTGAAGCAAAGTTCTTAACCTGAAGCACTATTTCTGGGTTAGCGGAGTCTGTAACCTGAAGCGTATGTAACCCGAGGTCCCACTGTACGAGGAACAATGAAAACCTCCCAAAGGTTTAGGGAACTGGCTTATTGACCCAAAAGCATTTTCCCCCAATAGGTTTTCAACTGTAAGACTAGCTCCAAAACGAGCTCCTTACACTTGCTGGGGCAGCTGGCATTGCTCAAAATGTGTTACGATTTTGGACCAATAAACCAGTTTCCTGCACTTGTTGGATCCTCAGTTGTTTCTGCTTTGCGGCGCGTTTGATTATCCGGCGGCCCTCCAGATGTTGCCATGGATGATGTAAGTTGTAGTTCAGCAACATCTGGAGGGCTGAAGGTTTCCCATACCAGCCTTATTGATTGCAGGACTTTGCAACTTTAATTGTGCAGAGAAGAAAAGGGGAAAAAAGGTTCGAGAATTGATTAGATATGTCAGATGGGAAAAACCACAGGTGGCGATTATTTTCTCCTTGTTTGCCATACTTAAAGATACGGGAGAACTCTTAGGGCCAAGGCAAAAATTGCAAACTTTGTTTTAATTTGGCTAGCTGTTTTTTTAAAAAAAACTTTTTGTTAGCCACCCCGAAATTGGAGGATGAACAGAATATTAAAGTTTTGTATTGATAAAGAAACTTGTAAAGAGAGCTAGTGTGGTTTAATGGTTAAAGCATTGGGCTAGGACCTGGGAGACCAGGGTTCAAATCCCCTCTCAGCCATGAAGCTCATCTGGTATCCTTGGATCAGTCACCGCCTCTTGGCCTAACCTACCTCGCAGGGTTGTTGTGGGGATTAAATGAAGAGAGGGTGGAACCATGTGTACCATCTTCAGCTCCTTGGAGGAAAAGTGGGATTTGTTGTTGTTGTTGTTGTTTAGACGTTTAGTCGTGTCCGACTCTTCGTGACCCCATGGACCAGAGCACACCAGGCACTCCTGTCTTCCACTGCCTCCCGCAGTTTGGTCAAACTCATGCTGGTAGCTTCGAGAACACTGTCCAACCATCTCGTCCTCTGTCGTCCCCTTCTCCTTGTGCCCTCCATCTTTCCCAACATCAGGGTCTTCTCCAGGGAGTCTTCTCTTCTCATGAGGTGGCCAAAGTATTGGAGCCTCAGCTTCATGATCTGTCCTTCCAGTGAGCACTCAGGGCTGATTTCCCTAAGAATGGAGAGGTTTGATCTTCTTGCAGTCCATGGGACTCTCAAGAGTCTTCTTCGGATGCAATAAATAAATAAATATTAATACCCTGCCCAATGGCATGGCTTAAAGAAAATATTTGGGAGACAGCCTTAAAAGAAAAAATGTGACACTATGTTATGTGCTTCACCCTCTCCTCTCCTGCCACTTTACTCCAAACTGTACCCAAAGTTGCTTCTCCACTTCTCCATCACCCCCTGCCAATGTTCAGAGGAGAATTTTCAAGTGCAAATGTACGTATTTCAGTCCTAGTATAGCTCTTCTCCACCCTGCATAACACACACTTTCATTATACAACTGATCAATGCTACAAGAGGGCTGTCTTCTTCTTCTCCTTCTCCTTCTTCTTCTTCTTCTTCTTCTTCTTCTTCTTCTTCTTCTTCTTCTTCTTCTTCTTCTTCTTCTTCTTCTATCTGCCCACTCGCCTACTCCCCAAACAGCTTGACCGACCCTAAACACAGGTTATGCTGGGATGTCGGTTTCATTAACGCCGGGAAGCAGACCTCACATTACGGATGTGCCAAATGGCTCTGCAGCTGCATCCATTATTTACCACGAAACCATTAATTACCAGCGGCAAAACAGCACTGCTGATCATTGATGCCAGGAACTCCAGCACAGTAATTTCCATCAGTGGAAAAGAAAATTAAGTTATGTTGGGAGTGTCTTAAATGGCCATTCAGAATAAATATTGCTGGCAGCTTGTGACTGCAGACATCGTCCCTGCATGAGGATATGAAAATGTCTCCATCACCTTTTTAACACGGCGTAGGAGTCTGTATTCGCTCTGCCTTTCAAATGGATCTTTGATTTATGGGTGCGATAAAGGCGCTGGTGATAGAGCATAAGGGGAAAAAAGCTTTACTTTGTCAGAGAAACTGCATTTGTGGAAGGAAGGTGGCTGTTCCTTTGGAATTGAATATTGTCCACTGAGCGGAATCTTAAAAGTCCAGTTCTAAATGAGTTTATGTGGGATGTGATACAGAAGTAGCAGTCAAATACAACATTCCTTGTTTTCCTAGAGTGGACATGCAGGGGGGTGTTTGATTCAGCCAGTCGGAACTTCCTGTTTCCTCCTGGGCTGAGACATACTTCCTCTTGCATGTGACTAGACTTGGGCGTGACCTTACCTGTCCAGGTAACAAAAAGGACAAGGTACGCAGCCATCTCTCTCTCTTTGACTTCCTCCTTCGTTGGACCAGCAGCTTTATGGCTAGAGATGCTCGGTTGGCTTTGAGAGGACAAAGGGACTATCTCCATATGGGATAGACCCATATGTGTATACTTTATAACTAAGTCTGCCTCCAGGGATCCAACTGTGAACTGATGTGAGTAAACTTCTTTTATATACTTTAAACAAGATATTGGCGTGTTCATTCTTTTAAGAGGGATATAAGCGGACTTATCAGGAATCTAATGGTAAGAGGCTTAAACAAGCCTGCAGTTTACTCATAAGGAAGTCCTGTGTAGTTTAGAACAGGGGTTGAGAACCTCAGACCCAGAGGCCAAATGCTCCCCTTCAGGCCTCTCTTACCTGGAACTCTCTGCAAGCCACAGCCCTCGCTGGTCCTGCTTTGAACCTTAAGCATTTTTGCCTGGCTGGAACAGGTCCTTGAACTCTGCCAATGCCTCTTGCTTGTTTGGCTAGAGTGGGTGAGTGGGTGTTGAAAGCAGCCTACTGTACAAAGTTAACACTTACAAGTGGAAAGAGGTTTGTTGCTTGCAGGCTTTCCATAGGCATCTGGCTGGCTACTGTAATAACAGGGTGCTGTAGTAGATGGACTTTGGGCCGGATCCAACAGAGCTCTTCTTACGTTACTATCCACCACAACCCCAAGACCTGTCTATATGGTCATAACCCCACTAGTGTATATCAGAAGGTCGGCAGTTCGAATCCCCACGATGGGGTGAGGAGCTGTTGCTCTGTCCCAGCTCCTGCCAACCTAGCAGTTCAAAAGCATACTAGTACAAGTAGATAAATAGGTACTGCTGTGGCGGGAAGTTAAACGATGTTTCCGTGCACTCTGGCTTCCGTCACAGTGTTCTGTTGTGCCAGTATCGGTTTAGTCATGCTGGCCACATGACCCAGAAAGCTGTCTGTGGACAAACGCCGGCTCCCTCGGTCTGAAGCAAGATGAGCGCCGCAGCCCCATAGTAGCCTTTGACTGGACTTAACTGTCCAGGGGTCCTTTACCTTACCTTTACCTATATGTTATGACAGGGTGTTTTATTCCCCTTCTCATTGCTCATCCTTTTACACTTGCTTACATCGAACGTAATATATCTTGCGTTTGCAAATACATTACAATTCCTTCCTTCCAGAGCCAGTGTGGTGTAGTGGTTAAGAGTGGTAGTCTCGTAATCTGGGGAACCGGGTTCACTTCCCCGCTCCTCCACTTGCAGCTGCTGGGTGACCTTGGGCTAGTCACACTTCTTTGAAGTCTCTCAGCCCCACTCACCTCACAGAGAGTTTGTTGTGGGGGAAGAAGGGAAAGGAGAATGTTAGCCGCTTTGAGACTCCTTCAGGTAGTGATAAAGCGGGATATCAAATCCAAAGTCGTCTTCTTCTTCTCCTCCAGTCCCCTGAAGATAGCAGAATGGCTAGTTGGATAAGGATTTGTGATGCTGGGAAGGTACCCCCCTTCCAAAAGGGAGGGTGTACTCTGAAAATAGCAGTTTATTGTATGAGGTTATTCTGGAAACAAAATCTAAGTGAAGATTTCATTGGGTTGGGGGAGGGATAATTCATAAAAGGGAACGGAAGCAATTTGACTATGCATTATTAAACTTCCTTTCCAACAATTCAACAGCTCAAGGAACTACCAAGCATTCTGCAGTACAATGAGGAGAGCTCTACTTCCATGCCTTCTCCTTGCTGTCACCGGAATCCACCTCACCAGAGGCCATACCTCCCAACCTGTGGCTGAAAGCACTGCACGCTTGGCAGGGGATTTGTCCCGGGTTCTTTCTGTCTCCCGGAAAAATGAGAACATTCTCTATTCTCCACTTGGAGTTTTGTTGGCCCTCGGGGCAATCCACTTAGGAGCCAAGGGAAAAGCACGCGATGAGATCAGGCAACTTCTCAACCTGCAAGGAAATGATGGTGAGTATCCACACCAGCTTTCTCAAACCTGGTGCTCCCTTTTCCCTCCATCTCCTGTTTTAGACTGCAACTTTCATCAGACCCAGCCAGTGTAGCCATCCAATGTTTGCAATCAGAATGATCTGGCTAGCTACCTGCTCTTCTTGAGTTTTGCTGTTGTTTTTAGTTTGCTAAGTTGCATGGTAACAGTTAAATCACTTTTGTTTTTTACGTTGGATTTTGTATCTGTAAGCAAACAGAGGGGGGAAGTGGGATGTAAATGCAATAATAATAAATGGAATAATAAATAATCATTGGTGTATGCACAGAGACAAATAGGTTATTTTTAAAAAAATTATATACTACTTTAGTGAACCAGTTTGACTAATTTCAATACAATATGGAAACCAACTACTGACACACAATAAAATCATTTTTTAAAGACAAAAAACCCTCCGTTCCAATTCCCCTCTGCCTGGTTTTGTATGCCACACACTTCAACTGTCAGTGAGCATTCTGTGGCTACTGGATAGGCTCAGTCCTCAATGGAGAGGGGTTTGTTTTGTTTTTGCACAGGGTCCTCCTCAATTATTTTGTCCTTCAAACCTTGAAGTTCTGCCCTACCTGCTGCCCATCTGGTGATAGCTCTTTCTTGTGCCTGAATGGTGTTGTTTCGGCTACAAAAAGATCCACGTTCAGAGAAAGCATTCCCTTGCCTCCCAGAAAGAACATACAGTGGTACCTCAGGTTAAGTACTTAATTCGTTCCAGAGGTCCGTACTTAACTTGAAACTGTTCTTAACCTGAAGCACCACTTTAGCTAATGGGGCCTCCTCCTGCTGCTGTGCCGCCGGAGCACGATTTCTGTTCTCATCCTGAAGCAAAGTTCTTACACTATTTCTGGGTTAGCAGAGTCTGTAACCTGAAGCATATGTTGTTGGCTATTTGCAGTTTAGTAGCGCTGCAGAGAGCTTGCTGGGGAGACCATGCATTAAAAAGGGAATCAAAAATAACTTAAACAAGGTTTAAATAACAAAAACAAAAACTCCTTATACACTAAATACATCAACAACAAACCAGACCCAACCACCAACCCATCCCCCAGGGTAATGGGAGAGCTAGGTGCTGCTCCTTATATACTACACCCAAATGCTGACACAGCTTAATCAATACAACTCAGCAGCACCTGCTATGTTTCACAGCTGTAAAGCTGGGTCTCGTTAGTTTGCTCTGGCCCTTGCTCTGGCCCCTTAAAGACATACACATCGGGTGGAACAATGATGAACCTTTACATTTAAAGAAACCATTCAACATATGTAACCTGAAGCATATGTAACCCAAGGTACCACTGTAGTGGCAAAGTCAGTCTGGCTCCATCCACTGGTCAGTGTGGGAGCAATTATTCCAATACTCGTTTTCCTCTTCCCTTCTTATTCCTTTTGCATCTTATTTATTAGATTGTGATCATGTGGGAAGGGATGCCCTCATCTTTTAATATGTGCACAGTGCTTAGAAAAAATAAGGTGCTTTATAAGTACAAAAATCAACAACAACATGTTGCTCCAGTTCTCACTTTGGGCTTTTTCAAATCCCAAGTGTTCTGCAAGAGTATGTTCATCCATAGAAAACGTAGATATCACCAAAGTTCTCTGAGGTTTCTCACTGCGAGTGACTTGCACAGTGGGGAGGTATAAGCCCTACCTCTTGTCTGTTGGCACGCAACATGACATTTTGCTTTCTGTATCTTGTGCAGAAGCAAAAGCAAACAAAAGCAACATTGCCTCCTATGAAGCTAAAAGGTCTGATAACTGAAGGCTGCTTTCAAATGCAAGGTCTAAGAAAATGCAATAACTGGATATAATTGTTTGTATCTCAAATGCAGTCTGGGCAAAATGAAATCTACAAATCAACCCCAGTGTGCAAGGAACACATTTGCCATAGCTTAGTTTACTTTTTTAAAAAAAATAATCCCTTGACATCTATGGCAAATAATTTAAAAAACAAAACCTAAAGACAGATGGGCATCTTTGAGGTATTTCTTTTAGCCCTTTCACTGAAGATGTAAATCCACCCATTCAAGCAGATGATTGCCTACTATTATGGTTCATTTTCCCCCCTTTAGAAAATACATTATGAAATAAACCCTCTTTCCTCTAAATTCCTCCAAATGCCCTGCTATCAATCACGAGACAAAAGGAAGGTCTCTGGAATGCCTGTGCAGTACATGCAATCACACGATCTAGTGATGGAACAGGCTTAATGCTTGATTGGCTTCACACTGCTGTTTTTGTAAAAATGCCGCTCTTCGAGATATAAAGAGGGGCATGAAAGAGATCTTGGCCATGGTACCCATTTATTCTTTTCAGCAATTACCCTCCACCTCTGTCCCCTTCCCTCTCATTTGCTCTCTCAGTGAGGAGGAGGAGTGACAACCATCTTCTGCTTTACTGGTCAGGTTGGGTGTCTCTGGTTAGCGGTTGTCTTCTATATATATGTGAGCTCTAGCAGGTACACAGGCATGCCAGCTGCCAATGTCAGGCATGGTTGTTGTTGTTTAGTCTTTTAGTCATGTCCGACTCTTCGTGATCCCATGGACTAGAGCACGCCAGGCACTCCTGTCTTCCACTGCCTCCTGCCGTTTGGTCAAACTCATGTTGGTAGCTTTGAGAACACTGTCCAACCATCTCGTCCTCTGTCATCCCTTTCTCCTTGTGCCCTCAATCTTTCCCAACACCAGGGTCTTTTCCAGGGAGTCTTCTCTTCTCATGAGGTGGCCAAGGTACTGGAGCCTCAGCTTCAGGATCTGTCCTTTCAGTGAGCACTCAGGGCTGATTTCCTTAAGAATGGAGAGGTTTGAACTTCTTGCAGTCCATGGGACTCTCAAGAGTCTCCTCCAGCACCACAATTCAAAAGCATCCATTCTTTGGCGATCAGCCCTCTTTATGGTCCAGCTCTCACTTCCATACATCACTACTGGGAAAACCATAGCTTTAACTATACAGACCTTTGTTGGCAAGGTGATGTTGCTGCTTTTTAAGATGCTGTCTAGGTTTGTCATTGCTTTTCTCCCAAGAAGCAGGCATATTTTAATTTCATGACTGCTGTCCCCATCTGCAGTGATCATGGAGCCCTAGAAAGTAAGGCAGTGATCCATGAAGGAGGTCAGGCATGGTAGGCTACATCAAAAGTATGTGTCCCTGTTTCCACACCTCAGTGGGTCTGCACATGTCGGATGACTAATCCATTTCACCTCCTCTACCATGTAGATGGTGTATGTTATGTATTCAGTGGTCTGTGTTTGCCTGAGCTTAAGTCTGGACTAAGGATTCTGAGCTCCTGTGTTCTGATTTGATACATGATGTCCAGTCACAGAACATTTCAGGATTTGGGCCTCTGCCATTGGCCCTTGACCTCTGAGTCATAATTCGCAGCTTGGAAGTTCAGACAGCCAATCACACTTGGAGTGGGAGTGGCCCAGGCTTTCAGGAATGTATATAAGCAGTTGCTTTGCACCTATTTCCCAGTTATGTAGTTCAATGAAGTTTCTTGCCATTATCGCTATGTCTTGCCCCATGGGATCCCACCTTCACTTCAGTGTAAACATATGATATGGGTGTTTCATGTTGACTTATACCTGATCATTCAGATACTCAACCAGGGACATTTCTCTCTTTCACACGTATGGGTCTTTCACAAAAACAACAATTTTCATTGAATGCCTAGGCTATCCTCTGCACAGTGGAGAGAATGAGTATCCTGTCGATTTACAAAGGCCCAGTAAATAGATTGTGTGAACTCACCCTGTTTATCATTGTGGGATATTTAAAATGCACTCAAACTAACAATTCATGTCTTGCTAGATAGGCACATGATAGGAGCTGAAGCTCATGGAGATTTCCTGTATGTTTGCTAGAGAGAACACGCCCTGATAGGAGGAGGGCGTAGCCATAAATATCCTCTTACCTGCCTGGGCACATCTTCCTTTTCAGAGGCTAAGTCTAAGGTCCAATGCTCAGGTTCCATCTTAAGCTAGACTTAAGTATGTCTCCATAACTGAATTACCATTTTAAGCCCGCCTGAACAAAGCTGAACAAGTATTTTGGATGAGAAAATGTTATCTTTACCTTTTACAAGATTGTAAAAACCATGGAGAGACCTGGTCTGAACAGAGACATTGGATTCTTACCTCATTATACATGATAAAGCTATTTTTAGCCATCTCACCCCTTGCTTTTCCCTGTAAGGCCAATTGCAGTTGTTAACAGTCGCCAACAGGTTTACCACACCTGTCAGCCAATCACCCATTCCCACCACCCTTCTGAGTAATACCCTTCCCCACCCTCTCACTATATATAAGGGTCTGGTGACTTCTGTTTCAGTGTATCTGAAGAAGTGTGCATGCACACGAAAGCTCATACCAATAACTAACTTAGTTGGTCTCTAAGGTGTTACAGGAAGGAATTTTTAATTTTTTTTATCTAATAAATATATCCTCTCCTAACATTTATTCACATCCCAGCAATCATCCTATACTAGGGTATCCCAGGTATAAATGTAAGTCATTCAGACATGATTAATAATCTGTATATTTCTTTTCCCAGTTTCCTGATCTGTAGCCAGACTATCTTCCTCTATCACATCATTCTTCACAAATGACTAAATATGTCTTTTAGCAGCTCAAACATAGCTTTATTATAAGGATTCCAGAAATAAATAAATCATTGTCACCTAGCAGAGAAAAATGGAAAACTGAATGCCCCAGGTCAGTGGATAGCTTGATGAATGTGTTGGCCATGTATGTGGTAGCTATGAAAAGGGCAAAATTCTTGTTAAGGATAATTAGCAAAGAGATTGAAAATAAAACTGCCAATATTAGAATGCCATCATACAAATCTATGGTGAGACGGTTCTTGGAACACTGTGTGTCTTTCTGGTCATCTCACCTCAAGAAGGATATTGTAGAGCTGGAAAAGGGCAACCATCACGCTCAAAGGATTGGAGCAAACCTTTGACGCTTTTTGGTTAAGGAAGAAAATGTCAATATGTGGGTGGGGGACGTGATCGGGGTTGTCAATAATATGCCTGATGTGGAGAAAATGGATAGAAAAATGTTTTCCTCCCTCAATTATAGTACAAAATCTTGGGGCCGTCCAATGAAGGTGAACTTTGGAAGATTCCTGACAGAAAAAATAAAGTTCACTCAGTGCGCAAACAGTGGAGTTTTCTCCCACAAGAGGCTGTAATTGTCATAGACTTGGATGGCTTTAAAAGAGAATAAAGGCAATCAATGGTTACTAGTCATGATGACTATGTTCTGTTTCCACTGTGGGAGACATTATGCCTCTGAATACCACTTGCTAGGAATGGCAAGTGGGATTAGTGCTGTTTCACCCAGATCCTGCTTTTGAGCTTCCCATAGGCATCGTACCTACGGGACCGCCTCTCCTGGTATGCCCCACGGAGGACCTTAAGGTCCATAAATAGCAACACCTTAGAGGTCCCAGGCCCTAAGGAAGTCAGATTAGCCTCATCCAGAGCCAGGGCTTTTTCAACACTGGCTCTGGCCTGGTGGAACGCTCTGTCTCATGAGACCAGGGCCCTGCGGGATCTGATTTCTTTCCGCAGGGCCTGTAAGACAGACTTGTTCTGCCTTGTCTTAGGCTTGGACTGACGTTTGATTCCCTCCCCGTCTTTCTTTTTCCTTTCTCCTCCTGTGATGAGGCTGCATTTTAATTTTAATTGTTTTAATGTAGTATTTTAATCTTGTTTTTAAGTTGTATTCATTCAACTGTTTTTATTATTGGTTGTTAGCTGCCCTGAGCCCGGCCTTGGCTGGGGAGGGCGGGGTATAAATAAAAAATATATATATATTATTATCTGGTCTTCCTACCCAAAAATCAGCTTTAAAAGTCCCCAGACCTATTTGCCTGAAATCCAGCAGTTTTCCTATCCAGAGGCAACCACCTTCACATCTGCTCTTTTCAGAACAATGGTTCATAAAACACATGGGGAGATTAAGTGGTTTGTTTATCGCCCATCCCAAAACTGTAATAGCTGTCCTTGTAGAGAAATCAGTTATCCTTCTGAAATTTGGCAGCCTTCATTCTCTCAGAAGGGGCAACCATGCCTGCAAATTCCATCCAGTTTGGCCATACTAAAAATAGCCGTAGCTAAAGTTAAGTCCAGGGGTGGGGTGAATCACATCTTCCAACATAAAACCCCATGGACCAACTTGTCTGCAATCTGGCAGTCTTCAAAATTACACACATTTTTGTTCATTTTTTTTTAAAAAAAGTTTTAGTTCATGTTTATTTCCTTATATGAGATGCAGCAGAGGAAATGAGGCAAGCCTGGACCCCTGAAGTAAATTGGGGAGCCTCTAAATTGCTGGGTTAGGTTGTTTTAAGGAGCACCAAATTAGAGTCTGAACCAAACTTTGTGGTCAATGCACACATGCATCTCCACCATATAAGGTTTCAATTGTCTCCTTGTTAATAAAAAGTTGGTGATTATACCTTAAGTGCACATTTCACCACTAGAAAAAAAAACCCAAATAGGAAACCTTAAACCCTTTTTAAAGGGATATGTGACTTTAAGAGTGGAGAAGGTTCATTAGAGTACATATAAGTCGTTCACGAAGCAAAGATCAGGATGGCTAACACATGAAGTACGGTATTTTTTTTAAAGCTTCAGTATCTTCTGTAACACCAGTTCTGAAAATTGTGCAGAGAGTCATTTTGAAAGATAAATTTATATGTCATCAGAACAGCGTTTGGATGCTTTCAGCTCACTCTTAAATTCAACAGATTTTGCTTTCTCCTTATTTAAGCTTATTTTAATCCCTGCTGGAGCTCCTGGGACTTTCTATTGCTTTAGAAATGCAACATCTGACTTGCTAGATGGCAACATGAAGTGATATTAGGAGGAGTGTGAAATACCGTAATGCACTTTATCAGCCTTGTTCTTACGCAGCCACCATGGTATTAAATGAAAAACCTGTGGCATGAAATGAGGATAATTCAGATTCAGTACCAGGGGGTCTGTCGTCAGAGAATAGGAATGCTTGCCTGTTGACAAGCTGGTGTCCCTCTCTCTGGTCTCAACTGTAGCCCAGGGCCCATTCTGCCTCTTGCTGCCTCTATGGGGTTTCTGTTGTGATGCCATCAGAACAATACTGTACTTTGGGGCAGAAGTCAAATGTCCTGCTCACCAGAATGAGTGGGAGGGGACCACAATGCATCAGGCATGACTTATCACATTTTAAAGCAATAGAGATGACCATCATAAAAGGGACCCTATAAGACCTGCACCGCTGTGTTTCTCTTATATTTTACTGGTCTATTGCTGCTGCTGTCAGCTTCCCCACACTTCCTACTCCAGCAATAAGTATGACTATTGCTCAGTTGGCAGAGCATCAGACTCTTAATCTCAAGGTTATGGGTTCGACCCACATCTTGTGCAAAAGATTCCTGCATTGACCCTTGTTATCCCTTCCAACTCCACAATTCTTTGATTCTCTGATATGTGCCATTAGGACAGCAGTGCTGAAAAACCATTCCTTTGTTAGACCACTCCAGTGGTCAGTTAATTATAGGAAAGGATGGTAGTCAGTTGATACTTAGATGAAGCCTGGTCTTTACTGAGCTTTCATTGTGATTTGTTTGTGGGGAGGTTATAAGGGAATGAATATTCATCCTGAAGTGATTGCAGGGTATTTACACATCTTCCTGTAAATAATCCGTTCACTCCACATTCTGAGGTGCATTTTCCTATCATCTTCCTAACTGCAACTAACTTATTTTTAAGTGGATTTGTTACACCAAGGCGACAGAGCTCTCCCTTGAATTGTGCAAACCTATATTTCTGCCGTGCTCTTGAATCCCTCCTGCAAAATACTGACAGTCTGGAGGCAATATGACTTCTGAGAAAACATGCATAGGGTTGCGCTCTGCAAGCTTCCAATACTTTCTCATCCAAGTAATCTAACCCTGAGAGCATTGTCCTTGGAACTTTTCACCACTCAAGCGATGCAGAAGTTCTTATAATCTGCTTGCCGCATGGCCGGAGCCTTGGCTGCAAACTGAGAAAAAGAAAAACTACAAGTGGCAAGATGGCATAGCCATAACAATGCTATGTGAGTGTGCATGCACAGTACATTTTTAATAAAAATCATAAAATGCATTACAGCTTTTAAAGCCTAGCATATGGGTAAATGGCATCAAGTTACTTGCAGGACCAGGCATCGGATTCCCATACCCCAACCCATGCAAATAAGAGACCAACGAGGCTGGGTTTTGGGTCAAAACAGGCCACAACTTTATTGAATACAGATGAAGAGTCTCTTCCTTTAAATTCCTAGGAGTTTATCTCAGTGAAGACCTTACTTGGAAAATAAATACAACCCAGGTGGTTAAGAAAGCCCAACAGACTTCCAAAACGTTCGGAAACCAAAGTGCGGCTTCTGATTGGCTGCAGGAAGCCACGGAAGCCCCGTCGGATGTTCAACTTCCAAAAATAGTTTGCCAACCGGAACACTCACTTCCGGGGTTTGTGGTGTTCGGGAGCCAAAACGTTCAAGAACTAAGCTGCTCGAAAACCAAGGTATGACTCTATATACCTTTAGGTGCCTGGTGAAAACATACCTCTTTAAACACACCTTTGGCTGATTGACATCCAATGCCCTTTTAAAATATGTTGTGGGAGGGGAGACTTTTTGGTTTGTTTCTGTTCTTAATTTTATTATGTATTCTGTGTTTTTTATGTTGTTATTTTATATTGTGAACCACCCTGAAATCTATGAATGTAGGGCGGCATACAGATTCAACAACAACAACAACAACATCTGGATGGCATGTGGTTGGGGGAAGTCTGCTCTAAAATAAAGCTAACAAAAGTGGCCAGAAAGTGACAGGGTGACATGGGGGAGGGTCAAGAAACGGGCAGGAACCCTGACTAGCCCCCTGCCTCAAACCTGGCAGCAATACTGGGGACCACCGCACAAAATAGCAAGCAAGCTAGCAATGCTTTGAATGTCTGGGTTATGGTGAGGGAGTTCAGGCCTTCCTAACCCTTTCCTTTAGACCATGTCAATTTCACAAGCTTACCACAACCATTTCAGAAGCCCTGTGCATCCTTCAAGACTCCTGGAATAGGCATCCTTCAAGGATACATTTGTGAAGTTTGAATCCGGGAAAATTTAAGGGGCCCTTGTTAAATCTGCAAGGGCTAGATTTCTGCAATAAAAAGAAGGAAACATTCAAGACTATTAAGAGGAGAAAATGCTGATGCGCCTTCAATAATGGAACGATTCCCGACGATATGGCCAGTAGCTTTTATGTCCAAGTTGATGCATTTTATTAGAGGGCATGAAGATAGACAGCAAAGTAGCATGGTTGTTAAAAACTGTTCACTAGGATGATAAATAATTTGATGGCGTTGACCCATATGCTAGGTTTTAAAAACTGTAATGCACTTTAAAATTATTATTAGAAATGCAATGTGCATGCATACACAGCATTGTTATGGGGTAGCTGTGCCGCCTTGCTACTCAAAGATTTCCTTTACTTCAGTTAGGGCCAAGGATCCGGCCATGCGGCAAGGAGATTATAAAAATGTCTGCACCACTTGTGGCTTGGCAGATGGCTTCTGAACTGGGTCACTCTCGCCACCTGTCTAGACTGTGTCACTGGCAGAGTTGGCCTGGTTTATTGCCAATTCATTAATTACATGGTGATCCTTCTCCCCCCCCTCCCAAGGAGCTCAAGGTGATACACATGGCTGTCCCCCTGCCATCTCACTTTATCCTCACCGCAAACCAGTCAGGTGGGTTAGGCTGAAAGATGGTTCCTGGTTCCAACCAGAGCCACCCAGTGAGCTTCATGGCTGGAAAGGAATTGAATGTGGGTTTCCCTTATCCTAGACCAACCTTCTTCAAACCAGTGCCAGCCTTCGTCAACATGGCCAGTGGCTGATGGGATATGTAGTCTGTTAAACAACTGGAGGGTGGGGTAAAGTAAATGAATGAATGACTGTTGTTGTTTAGTCATTTAGTCGTGTCTGACTCTTCGTGACCCCATGGACCAGAGCACGCCAGGCACTCCTGTCTTCCACTGCCTCCTGCAGTTTGGTCAAACTCATGCTGGTAGCTTCGAGAACACTGACCAACCTTCTCGTTCTCTGTCGCCCCCTTCTCCTTGTGCCCTCAGTCTTTCCCAACATCAGGGTCTTTTCCAGGGAGTCTTCTCTTCTCATGAGATGGCCAAAGTATTGGAGCCTCAGCTTCAGGATCTGTCCTTCCAGTGAGCACTCAGGGCTGATTTCCTTAAGAATGGATAGGTTTGATCTTCTTGCAGCCCATGGGACTCTCAAGAGTCTCCTCCAGCACCATAATTCAAAAGAATCAATTCTTCAGCGATCAGCCTTCTTTATGGTCTAGTTCTCACTTCCATACATCACTACTGGGAAAACCATAGCTTTAACTATACAGACCTTGTTGGCAAGGTGATATCTCTGCTTTTTAAGATCTGTCTTCTCCCAAGAAGCAGGCGTCTTTTAATTTCGTGGCTGCTGTCACCATCTGCAGTGATCATGGAGCCCAAGAAAGTAAAATCTCTCACTGCCTCCATTTCTTCCCCTTCTATTTGCCAGGAGGTGATGGGCCCAGTGGCCATGATCTTCGTTTTTTTGATGTTGATAATGAATGACTAGCATGTCCCTATTTTCATCGCAGTAATGTTGGAGGGTTGGCACCTGTTGCTCCACCCATTTCGTCCTCTGGCGCCACACGTCACTGGCTTGTGGCCTCTGGGTGATTGCCGATGAGTTAATGCGGCCCTCAACCTGAGAAAGTTTCCCCATTCCTGCTCTGCACCATTCTGGCTCTCAGATCAATGCTAACTTAATAGATAGGGATGTTGGACCAACCAGTCTGTTGTTTTTATCAAGGCTTTGCTCTCATTTTGTCTGAGTGGCTGGCTCATTTAAAAGCAAATTCGGTTCTCGGGAGAGGTGATTCTGCCATTCCCCATTCTTACTCTTTCTTTGCTCCAGGTATAATAGCATTTGTGTTGTGTCTCTTCATCTTTGCTGCAGACTTACCTTAGGGAGCACCTCGGCCAGGAAGCGGGGATTATGAACGCATGTCTGTATTGGATAACTACCCTATTACACAGCTGGTTTGTGTTCTTCAAATGAAGATGTTAACTCTTAACACTTATTTTCTTCAGGTGAAGCCTTCAAGCCGCTTCAGACACTGTTCTCCGTCCCCTCAGAAGGAAAGGCATTTACATTTAATCTTGCCAATGCCCTCTACCTTCAAGAAGGATTCATGGTGAAAGAACAGTATCTCCATAGCAACAAGGAATTCTTTCAGACAGCTGTAAAGCTGGTGAATTTCCAAGATACGAAAGCTTCCGCAGAGGCCATAAGTACTTGGGTGGAAAACAAAACAGATGGTAAAAAAAAGCTCCCTGCCCCTTTCTTACGTGGGTTTGCTTCCCAGTGCATGCTGGTTAGGCCTCGTTGATTTTTTCAAAGGGCAGATCTCGTGGGAACAACCATTAGGTGGATTGAGGCAAATGCCTCAGGTGGCAAAAAGTGGGTGGCCGCAGCAGCGCACCTAGACATTGAGCCCCTGTCCATTCTCCTCTTTTGTCACACATACCCTAAGCTAGCTTGCTCTCCTCAGCTGTACTGGAGGTGGAGGACACTATTCCTATTGCCAGTGCTGAAGGAAGGTGCAACTGGGGGGAGGCGCCATTTTGTTATTTGCCTCAGGCGGAAAAATGCCTTGGGCTAGCCCTGGAGTTAAAGGCACACTCACATGAATAAAAGAGAGAAAAATATTGGGAAATTCTGTACACACAGTGCAATTTAAGACTGTTCAAATTATCCTCCTTTAAAAAGATATTTTAGCTCCAAAATTCAGCCCAGCTTTGTATGCTCATTTCATTAATGTAATCTGACATTTTGCATATAAACCATAATAGTAACCATGGAGACCTAATAAGTACCACACTTATGATCCCTAAACTTCAGGTTTGTTCTATGCATTATGCCTTTAAATTTATGTTCCATATATATATATGTGTGTGTGTGTGTGTGTGTGTGTGTCATGGTGTACCAATTAAATGCATAATTTCTTTATGAAAAGATATTTTAGTTCCACCTCCACAGTGAATGCTATAAAGCTAAAAATATGGGAATTGTCCTCTTAGGAAATTTTGCTAGTCTTAAGGAAATTCCTTTAAATTCTTACAAAAGTCCCTACTGATGTATTACCAAGCAACACCCACCAAACTGGTCTTAAATTTCATTTCAACTCCCCCCAAAATATATTTTTCCAAATATATTAATTTTGATTACACCAGCAAATAATACATAATTAAAGCCTATTAAAAGCAATATTAAAATGGACAGAGGTAAGAGCTGTTTGACAGTGTAGCAGACTCCAGTGAGAGGTGGTGGACTTTCCTTCCTTGGACGGATGGCCATCTGTCATGTATGATCTAGCTTAGATCCCTGCATTGCAGAGGGTTCGACTAGATGACCCTTGGGTCCCAACTCTACAATTCTGAGATTCTATGCTATTGTTCTTATTTTATCTTAGTTTGCATCCTGGCCAATTAGAGAAACAGCTAGACACAACTGACAGTCTCTTTCTGCGCAGGTAAAATCAGGAACCTCGTGGCAAGTGGAGACCTTGGTCCCTTGACTAGACTTTTGCTGGTGAATGCCCTTTTCTTCAAAGGGGACTGGAAGCAGACGTTCAAAGCAGAGGACACCAGTTGGATGCCTTTCACTAAAAGTGACGGTTCGGTGACTGAGATACCGATGATGCATCTTCAGCTCAAAGCAAAGCTTGGTAATTCAGACATCCCACTTGGTTTCACATGCATATACAGTGGTACCTCGGGTTACAGACGCTTCAGGTTACAGACACTTCAGGTTACAGACTCCACTAACCCAGAAATAGTACCTCGGGTTAAGAACTTTGCTTCAGGATGAGAACATAAATCGCGTGGCGGCAGCGGGAGGCCCCATTAGCTAAAGTGGTACCTCAGGTTAAGAACAGTTTCAGGTTAAGAACGGACCTCCGGAATGAATTAAGTTCTTAACCCGAGGTACCACTTTATATGAGTTTGTATGAATGGATGTGTAGATCAGTCCATTTCTGCTCCGGGTCGATTTCTCATGTGTTTATTCCTAAGTCTGTTCCATATCATTTCCTCACCATGGTGTGATTCTTAAAAACAACAACCAATCTGTACAAAAATAATATCTAAACTCCTACTTAGCTATGTATTTTAACACAAAATATGTATTCAATATCCTTTTATCCTAAAATAGACATTTTATAAATGCATTCTGGTATGCTTCTGGAGACAAGAATTGCATCACAATCTGAAGGTTAACTATATTCCAATCTGTTTATCAGATCAACCAATTACCGTATTTGTTCATCTATAAGACGCCCAAATTTTGGGACTCAAATTTAGGAAAATGGTGGGAGATGGCACAGAGTTGTTGAGCTTTTTTTGGGGGGGGGATTGCTGAAAATTGCTCACCCGTACACATTGAGAAATCTGCCTCTCATTTGTCCCATCACCGGCAGAAGTTGCCAATCGCCCGCCCAACTGCTGGAGCATCAGCCAATCAACACCACCCATTGATGCAGCAACCAATAACATGTGCAATAGCCACTGACAGCCACGGCAGCAGCCAATCAAACATCCACCCTATGCACTACCCACTTTTTAGCATGATTTTTAAGGGGGGGGAATAGTTTTATACATGGAAAAGTACAGTAGGTTCTGTTGAACTCTGAGCCTACTTGCATCAGGACCACGAGTTCCTGTGTGTTTATCTGCCTGTTGCACAAAGCTACCATTATTAGAGTCACTTGGGGCTCTTTTTCAAGGGGAACTCACAGGAACTCAGTACTGGCACCTCTCAGGTGGGTGCCATTGCCATTCTAAGAGAATGAGGCAGGTCTTCATGATGTGTTCTGGCACCTCTTTTTTATTATAGAAAAATAGCACTGCAGTTAATTATTGGCTATTTCCTGTGACAAGTATCACATTCTTCCTTTCTTCCTTTCTTCGTTTCTTTTTTAATTGTTAATGTCGTTTCTTTTAATCTTCTGGTGGCAGTGCACTGCATACTGTGAACCACAGCACAGAAGTGTTGGTATGACAGTGCCGTTTTAAATGTGTGGTGTTTCGCAGGGGATTTCCCCCCACAAAATGCAGATGCTTTCAAAGAGATGTGGCAAAGCAGATCAATGGACGTTTTCCTCAAAATTGCGAAGTAGCACTAGTGACATTCCAATTAAATCATGTGCATGTACAAGACAAATAATTCCCACATCTCAAGATCTCTGCTCGTTATTTCTGTCTCTTTCTCTGAATCTAACCTGATGTGTTAAATTAATCATGGACGGAGCATGTCAAACTCTTTCCCTTCCAAAATGAAGGACTCATGTATGCATTTCAGTTTATTAGTGAGTTTGATCCTGCCTTATAAGGCAGCAGAGGGGCTTGAACCAGGGACTCTGGCAACTGGGTGGCTGAGGTGCCCATGCACCATTGTGGTAGCTTATCAGGAGAAGCACCTGCCTCCAGGCCATTCCTGAAGATGGCAAAACGCAGCTATCAATTCAGCCGTGGTCACGTGACTCAAGTAACCAATAAGTTTCCACTTGGTCTCATAAAGCTGTTGACTGTTCTCAGTGGCAGAGGAAGAGGGGTGCGGTGGGGGTGGACCGCCCTGGGTGTTATCCCTGAGGGGGGGTTGACATTCGGCTTGTGGTAGGCTTGGGAGTCACAGGCATGCGTTGTGCTATTGCCCCGCACTCCTGGCTAGAGGAGGCAGGCAAGCAGGCAGGGGACAGGACGGGAAGGAGGCAAGCAAGCAAACAAACAACAGAGGGGGGTGGGAAGGGGAGAGGAAGGAAGTAGGATCGGTGGGTGGGCCTTTCATTCTGCCTGGAAGACGAGCGCCTACAGCTCCGGCTGCAGAGCGTGCATGCCGCTCTATGCACCTGAGTGGCTATCCAGTGCCTGGGAGGGTGCCCTCCGCTCCCTCGGGAGTGCTCCCCTCTCCCCTCTCAGGAGCACACACACCCTGGGCAGCGCAGGCATATGCTCCACCACTGACTGTTCTGCCTCCTCACTCTCTAAAAATTGATACTCAGAAGTGCTCTAGCTACCTGACTTTACAGAGATGTCTAAAATGCATGCAAAATTGGAACCTGATGGCTTGGCAGAGCATCTCTTACATAATTTAGGATGCTAAAACAGAGATAGGTGTGAACACTAGTGTTGCATATGCTAAATTCACCCTGTGTTAAAGAATGCAGAGTCAGCGCATTTTGTCTTGTCTTCAGGCCATGGTGGAAGGTGGACAGATGGGACCTGATGCCAGCCAGGGGGTCCCAGGCTGGCTCAGCCCTATCCACTTCCTGGGGGAAGGGATGAAGCTCAGTGGTAGAGCATCTGCTTTATATGAAAATAGCCCCAGGTTCAATCACTCCAGGTAGGGTTGGGACAGACTCCTGTGTGAAACCGCGAAGAGCCATTGCTGATCTGTGTAGACAATACTGAACTAGATGGACCAACAGTCTAACTCAGTACAGTGGTGCCCCGCAAGACGAATGCCTCGCAAGATGAAAAACTCGCTAGACGAAAGAGTTTTCCATTTTTTGAGTCGTTCCGCAAGATGAATTTCCCTATGGGCTTGCTTCGCAAGACGAAACGTCTTGCGAGTTCTTGCGAGTTTGTTTCCTTTTTCTTAAAGCTGCTAAGCCGTTAATAGCCGCTAAGCCGCTAAGCCGTTAATAGCCGCTAAGCCACTAATAGCCGTGCTTCGCAAGACGAAAAAAAACGCAAGACGAAGAGACTCGCGGAACGGATTAATTTCGTCTTGCGAGGCACCACTGTATAGGCTATGGTTACCAGGCATCCCCGCTTCCCGGGGACAGTCCCCAGATTTACAAATCTGTCCCTGGACAAAATCCGTCCCCGGAATGTCCCTGGATTTCATTTAATATCCCTGGATTTATATTTTAAGTGTTGTAGATTTATTAGTAGGGAATGAATGTTGCCCGACTGGTTCAACAGCACAAGACACATCATATGGGGACTTCCAGTGAGGCAAAATGGCGGGCGCCACAGCAGCGAGTAGCTCCTGAAGCCAGCCAGAGCCAACTGCGTTACCAGTCTGGCTCTGGGCTGCTGAGACTGCCGCTGCCACTGCCAAGGGGGAACCAGGGATGCCTGACACTCCTCCCCCATGACCCAAATTCAGCTGGGAGCAAGAGTGTCCAGCCGACTGCCAATCGGCACTCTGGGGCCAGTAAAAACCCTGGAACCAATGCAGGGAGAAGGAGGAGAGGAGAAGGAGAAGGAAGAGAGAGAAAGAGGAAGGAGAAAAAAGAGGGGAGCCCTGAGCTTGCTGAGCCGCCACCACCACTGAGGAGGAGAGGTAGGAGAGCACCAGGAGGACAAGGACACGTGGAAGAGACCAGGCCCCACCCAAACCTACTCCATGGTGGCTAACACTCCAAGAGAGCAGGCTAGGGCCCAGAGGAAGGCCACATGACAGAGGAGACCACAGAAGAGAAGATATTACTTCTTTTATAAAAAATAAAATAAATTTTTTTAATTGCTTTTTTTTCTCTTAAAAAAAAAAAAGTGTCCCCGGATTTTTTGAAAAAAGTCTGGTAACCTTAGTATAGGCTTCCTATGTTCCTGTCCATAGAATGCCCCATTTCAGGACTCTGCTGCGCTGCCCTGGGAAGGGCAGCACCCAGAGGTATAGCAAGGTCAGGTGGTACCTGGTGCAATTTTTTTTTGTCACCCCCCCAAGTTGGGAGTTGTGGGTGGGCGGCATGGCTCTTGGGCAACTCCTCTCCTGGTCGCCAGGCGACCGACAACACACCGAGGGGCCTCTTCTCTGCCTCCTTGCTCTCCTTTCTCGTGCGCCCCAAAGGACCCTCCAGCGCAGCCAGCAGGTAGAGCCCCTTCTTGCCTGGGGCCCACCCCTTTTCGACTCCCCTGCGCCCTGGAGAGCCCTCCTCCACCCCCCAAGCCCACTGGGAGGCTCAAACTTTTGGTTCCTAACTTAGCAGAGCTGTCAAAACGAAGGGGGAAGGAGGGAAGGCCGTCGGCAAAGTGGCGCAGCTCCCCCCTTCCTACGGCGTCTTGGGGTAGGCTTGGGAGTCATGGGGGGTGTGACATTCAGCGCGCCACCCATTTGACTACCCCTGGCTACCGCCAGCATCCACGGCATCGCTCCCGGGGGCTGCGCTTCCTGTCCTGGCTGGCTGTGCCTGTGGCAGAGTCTTCCCCCTGCGCTTGCGAGGCATCCTGAGCCCTGGAGGAGGAAGGAGAAGAAGGGCACTGGAGGCTAGCCAAGAGAGGAGCAGCTTCCCCGCGGAGCCAGTGGTGGAGCTAGCCGCTTGGGCACCCGAAACAGCGAACATGTCATGCACCCGGGGGTGCCACTCAGGGGGGTGATCAGTGTGGTGATCGGTGCCCATTGGAGTGGCAATTGGCGTCCAGGTGGGTAATTGGTGCAGTGACTGGCACCCAGGGGGGTACCACAGCTATCCACCCAGGGGGGCTTTTATCACCCCCCTTAGTGATGACACCAGGGGCAGACCGCCTCCCCGCCCCCTTCCTACGCTCCTGGCAGCACCTGCAGGTCTTCTGCCTGTGTATTTGACAGCCAACTGGAGGCTGGTTCAGCTGGCAGAGCTGAGTGGAGGGATGCCTCCACTCAATCCAAACCAGCCACAGTCTTTTGTAAGGGAGGATTGGATTGCTCTGTAAATCTTCACCATGGTCTAATGAATAGTCTGCAGCCTCTGGGATCCTCTTTCATTTGCTTTTGTTTTGCCACCTCTCTCTTATTACAGTCCGGTAATTAAGACTTTTGCCCATTTTCTATTCTTTGTTTTAGGTCATTTCTCTGACCATAATGTGAGCTACCAAGTCTTGGAGCTGCCGTACAAAGGAGAGGAATTCAGTTTCGTGCTGATCCTTCCAGCAGAAGATGTGCCTATAGAAGAGGTCGAGAAACTCATTACAGCCCAGCTGATGAAAAGCTGGTTTGCTGAGATGGAAGAGGATGAGGACATAGAAATCAGCCTTCCCAGGTATGTAATGACCTCTGTGACGATCTGGTCTTCCTCGTTATCCCTTTTGGTCTTAAATCCTTCTTGCGGAAGAGTTTGTGGAATTAAGACACTGAAAAGGGCAAACTGATTTACTGACCTAGGAGCTTTGCAGTTATTTAAGCTAATGGCAGTTTGTGCTTACTAATTTCTCTAGCGAATGTAAATGAAATTAGGGCCCATATTAAGAGTTGACAGGTACAAAACGTCTATTCTCCCGGGAAGCACCGGGAAGCTGGTAATGGTCCAACGTGCTTTTACTACCCCTGATCCAGAGATGGCACTGCAAATGTAGATGGCTTCCAATTCCCATCAACAGCCAAAGGTCAGGGATTATAGGATGCTTAGTCCAACAACATCTAGAGGGCCAAAGGTTCCCATCCCTGCTTGAATGCCCTTTTTTCTTGTATTTACTGTCCCAGTTGTGTCTGTTTTTAAATGTTAGCATGTGTTGCTAGTGTCTTGGTGGACTGCATGGTTGGCTGAGTCCTTCGAGTCCTGTATAGCTCATAATAAACTGGAGGAGGGCTTGGTTGTCTGTCAGGAAACCTGAACAGAAACACTCAAATTAAGGGCTGAGAATAGACTGCAAGACCTACTGGTTCCATAATACGTGCAACCTGAAGTTTAAAATAGCCTGGTGCAAAATAAATGAGCCAGTAGGTGGGAAAGAGTCTTCAGCAGTGTGTAAAAACTGAGGGCTCAGGGAGCTCAGATAGTGATCGTTTCTGGAGTGCTGAACAGAAACATGAGCACCCTTGTATTTTCACCTGCAAAGAGTTGTGGGTGGGTGAAGGGAAAAAGATAATCTGGGAAAGCAGAACAAATGAAGTAGTGCCTGTTAATAGAGCCAATTCATCTTTAAAATATGGGTAAAGAGGAACCAAGGGCATGCTAGGAAAAGATACAAACTTAGATCCAATCCATAATTTAAGCAGAAAAACCAAGTAAAATAATTACTACAATTATTATTCTCCAACCACTCTTATTACAATCAGGATGATTTATTACTGTATATCCCTCATAATGCATCCAATGAAACTGTCAAAATGCGCCTGTCATAGCCTTCATATAATATCTATAAAGAAAAATTCAAAATCTATCCGGTGTAGTAAATCTTCTGCCATCACATCTCCACTTGCATGGGAGTAAACCCAATTGGCCTTAATGGAATTACTCCTGCGTAGGCACATATAGTGTTGCATTGTCACACTGCCAGAGCCAAACCTCATTAAAATGCCATAAAAGGCTTCTTAGATATATATTTATATTTCCCCCACAAATTAAAATGCTTCTCCTTATCTCTCATCTTGCAAAGCATGTATAGGCTCATCAAGGACATTGTCTGTCTGAGCCTTTGCAGAGATAAATGCAGACTCCTTACTTACCATTGTACAGTGGTACCTCTAGTTGTGTTCCGCTCTTGTTACGGACTTTCAGCTTACGAACGCAGGAAACGCGGAAGTGTTTACTTCTGGGTTCGCCCCACGCGCATGCACAGAAGTGATCGGCACACTTCATGCATGTGCAGAAGCGATCTTCGCGCTTCATGCATGCACAGAAGCACTCAATCATTTCACACACATGCTCTAGTTGCGGGTTTTTCGGGGTGCAAACGGCACCCCAAAATGGATTAAGTCCACAACTAGAGGTTCCACTGTATTTGCAACAACACCCTCCTCACCAAAGAGACCTTGGATCCAACTTACAACAGAAGCAGTAAAACACCCTCCCCTCCTATAGGGATCAATATTTGGGAAGTTTTTAAGATCCCTTCTCATCAACTGGTTTTGGAGAGGGCCAAGGCTCCATGCCTCTACCTCTAATCACCAGCTTTGAAACCCCATTGCCATAGATGCTCCTCACATCTAGGATTGGCAAAGGGAGGCCAGATGGAACTGCTTCGAAGGGAGGGATATTCCAGGGCCCACCATATTCTGAGCTTGAATGAAACTGAGACATACAGAAAGAAAATTATCCATGGTGGACCAAGGATACCTTAATACTTTCTTGCACAACCCAATTCCTTACCTTTGTAGAGGTTATTCCAATAGGGTGAATGTGTCCCATCACCTTTAGTATTTCTTTAGCCGGTCCCCGCCATCTTTCTTACGTCCGGCTCAGGGGGCAGCAATGTCTGCCAGCTTCCTCCTCCTTAATTTCTAGTTTGCCCATGTAGAACTCAGCTTCGAGGTGGGCTGGGTAAAAACTAGAATTAGTTGGCTCTGCCTCTTATTGACTTGGGCTCCAGATATTACTGGGTCTCTGCCTTGCACCTAGCTGGTTCTAACAGGAATCAGCCAACACTGATTCTATATGTTCACTTCCTACAGGTTTAAAATAGAGCAAATGGTGGACTTGAAAGAGATTATCCAGCCTCTCAACGTTACTGAGATTTTTAATAATGGCTGTGACCTTTCTGGAATAACAGGTGCTTTGATTTATTATGCTGATGGTTGCTGCTGCGAACATTTTATCTGTGTTTTCGGTCCTTATTGTCTGCTGTAATCATGTACTTTTAACAAAGTGTGTTTCAGTGTTTCGTTCAAGGACAAAGGAACACCCTGCTTTTTAAACATATAGGGTTTTTAAAACTATATAAAAAGAGTGAGGGGTTATTATTCTGTGACCGAATCCTTGCTTATCTCACCCCAGATTTCAAGCAAAGGCATGAAAAGGAACAATGTTCAGAACAGAACTGCCACATGGTTTTTTGCCTCAGAGGGAAGCACATGTGAAACGTGGTCTTTCCTTAGGAGAAATAGCTAAGGAATTTTGAAGGTGGGCACAAGAGGTTTGTTAAAAGTAGTCAGTTTTGTTGCAAATGTTCATGGCCCTCTTTTTTAAGAAAACAACAACAGCACACAAATCATTTAAAGTAAAATTCAAGGCCAGTGAGGAAGTTCCTTCTCAGGAGAAGGCATGTTCAAGGAATAAAGTGTTAGCAAAAGCAGCCATGAAACTGTTGCTTATCTCTCGGGGCCAAACTAGACGGCGCGACACAAACTACCATATGTCACTTGCTGCTGTGTTGTTTTTAAAAAATTAATGTCAGCTTATCTCTCCACCCCACATCACCCCACCCATTTATTGGGAACATGCAGACATTGAAAATGCTCTCCTTACCCACTGCGTACTTGACAAAAATCCACACACACATGCCTGCCATTAGTCTCTGAGGGGAATTTCCTAATAGCACCAGAGACTGCCAATAGTCTCTGAGAGAAACGACTGGAGTCTAATAGCAGCTGTGGTAGCAGTGGTGGGATTTTTGTTGGCTACAGTATAGCAGTGGAAGATGTTGGGAACTGCTCACCACTGTCCCACGTGGGAAAGTGAGTAACTGCAGAATACACACCTCGAGGGAGCGCATATCCCTTGGCCTATACCTTGCAAGGTTGACTGGACTACTAGTCATGAAGGCTGCATGCTACCTCCAGGAACTGAGGTTCTGAACTGGGTAACAATAGCAGGAGACAAGTTGTGATCACTCTTTCGGCATCTGGTTCGCCGCGTTGCAGACAGGATGGCTGCGTAAGACTCGTCTTTTGCTCTGAACAATCCCATGTGATTCCCCCCCCTTCTCTATAGGCAGGATTGAGATTAATAATGACACGTGCATCATATGTGAACTCTTTATCATTCATGTCCCCTCTCAGATTCTGCTGATGTCCACATTTCTAAAGCCATTCAAAAAGTCTGTTTTGAGCTGCATGAAGATGGGAGTGAAGCAGCAGCGTCTGCTGGTAATGACATGACAGAGATCTTATTCAGTCTATCAGGACGAATGTTATGTGACCAGATCTAGGCTACCATATTTGGATGGGATGGGCTGATGTTAGGTGCCCAAAAGGTCAAAGGGTTGTACTTTTTAAACTGTGTATGCACTTGTGGGCAATAATACTCATGGGAAATAATTTGTTGTTGTTGTTGTTGTTTAGTCGTGTCCGACTCTTCATGACCCCATGGACCAGAGCATGCCAGGCACTTTTATCTTCCACTGCCTCCCACAGTTTGGTCAAACTCATGCTGGTAGCTTCGAGAACACTGTCCAACCATCTCGTCCTCTGTCGTCCTCTTCTCCTTGTGCCCTCCATCTTTCCCAACATCAGGGTCTTTTCCAGGGAGTCTTTTCTTCTCATGAGGTGGCCAAAATATTGGAGTGTCAGCTTCACGATCTGTCCTTCCAGTGAGCACTCAGGGCTGATTTCCTTAAGAATGGATAGGTTTGATCTTCTTGCAGTCCATGGGACTCTCAAGAGTCTCCTCCAGCACTATAATTCAAAAGCATCAATTCTTCGGCGATCAGCCTTCTTAATGGTCCAGCTCTCACTTCCATACATCACTACTGGGAAAACCATAGCTTTAATGGCACGTGCTAAATGTTTGCTGGTTGGCACAAAAAGTCCAGCCTATGGAAGGAAGCTGCATGTCAGGGTAAGGACAGGGGAGCCCTGGGAGATGAAGAGACAAATGCTCTACAGCAGACATGGCAAACCTTTCCTGCTCCTGACATTTCTAGACTACAAGCACAATAATCCATACACATTAGCCCTGGTGGCTGGGGTGAATGGGAACTGGAGGTTGAGCTGCATATGAACAAGCATAGGTTGCTATTAATTAATTCAATTTATATACTACCCTTCATCCAGGGATCATAGGGTGGTTTTCAATATAAAACACACACAAATATATAACATAGTTACTGCAAGCAAAAAAAACACCACCCACCCCCACAGTTTAAAAGGCCATAGTTTGACAAATTAAACAAAGGCCTGGGAGAAGATGAATGTTTTTACCTGGCACCTAAAGATATGTAATGAAGGTGCCTAGTGGGCCACCACAGAAAAGCCCCTGCCCCCCAGCCCACGACTCCAAGCAAGTTTTATGTGGCTCACTAATGTGCAGCTGAAGAAGAAGGTCCTTTAGAGACTGGAGATACATTATACAAACACCAGTTCAGGTCTGGAGCTTGTTGGAGTTTGCTGGGCTTCACTGGGGCAAGAAAACAAAGGATGCAGTAGAGGGCATGGTCCTAATTTGAGAGGAGATGTTGAACTGTTGTTATTCTGTTAGCCCTCTGGTTTTCCTTTGGTTAACTTATAATTTAGGCAGAATGCATTTGCCCCCAAAGCACGAGGGTCTAAAAAGTCAAGACCCAGAGGAGCCATTTGTTAGTGGCATCAATAATTAATGACTTTGTAGCCTTCCAGACACATTGAAATATATTTAGTGCTTCTCAGCAGTCTAGAGCGATGCAAAAGATGCCGCCTGAATTTCTATGATCTGAAGGCTGCAGTCCTAGAACTCACACTCATTTGGGAGTCAGCCACGTGGCTCTGTCTTCCAAGGTTCTTCCTGTTTAAGGGCTGAATTCACTGGAAGTTCTTCTGCAGACATCTCTCATGAATGCAATGGCCAATAGAGCACAATCTAATGTGAAGTTCCTTGTTGTTCAGTGGGCAAGTACTTTAAATGAACATGCGTCAGACTATGGCTGGGCTGATGCTTATATGCCTATGGGAGAGAAAAGTTGCTGTATTCTTTTGAGCTCATGCATATGCATCCTAAAGGGCCGTTCCTACGATCTCCCCTTAGCAATGCACTTTTCCAGTTAAGCAATGTGTATAAAAATTCACAGGGTAGAGGCATATATTAGTGAAAGCACCATACAAACATTGAGGGCAGGAGAAATTGCTTTGCAAAATATGTATCTTAGGCAAAATTGCTTACAAATGTGTGTATAAAGAGAAATGCACACTAAAATGTGGGTGGATTTTCACGAGGACTTTAAAAAAAATCATAGTCTGTGCAAATTTGGAGAACTGTACTTAAGACTGGAAAACCGAAGAACTGAGAGAAACCAAAACTGTCAGATTTCCCTATCCCTAATGACATTTATATTTCACCTTTCCCCAAAGGAGCTCAAGATGGTGATGTATACGATTTTCTCCCTCTCCATCTGATCCTTGCAACAACCCCTTTCTGTTTAGGGTTTATGCACACTTTCTTTTGGTCCCATGGCTTTCTCCTGGGGAAAACTGCTCTTTAGAACCCATTCGGAACAAACAGTAGTTCTGGTTTTTTCTGGATTGATGTTTGCTCCAATTTAGCACTAAGGAGTGGGTTTTCCCCAGGGAAAGAGTGGGGCCTGAGGGAAACTGCTCAGACCCATGTCTAGAAAGCAGAAGCAAAACAACACTTGAGCATGTGCTGTCTAGGCATGAGACAAGTAGAAGTGCAGCTGAGCCCTTGGCTTCACAGGTTAGGCCAGGGGCTCAGCAACTTTTTCAGCAGGGGACCGGTCCACTGTCCCTCAGACCTTGTGGGGGGGGCGGACTATATTTTGGGGAAAAAATGAATGAATTCCTATGCCCCACAAATAACTCAGAGATGCATTTTAAATAAAAGCACGCATTCTACTCATGTAAAAACACGCTATTCCTGGACCATCCGCGAGCTGGATTTAGAAGGCCATTGGGCCGGATCTGGCCCCCGGGCCTTAGTTTGTCTACCCATGGGTTAGGCTGAGAGATGAGGACAGGCCCAAGGTCATCTAGTGAACTTCATTGCTGAGTGGCAGTTTGAACCCTGGTATTCCGGGTCATATGGCAGACTGGCTTACAGGATCTGGACCTCTTCTGCAAGCCCAATTTTTCTCACCGTTAGAAGAAGTGCAGATCAAAGGCTTGAATGCCTGTGGTGCTCAGGAAACCCTGGACAGGAGTGTGCCTGATTTGCTGATCATTTTGTATGGCATATTTTTATGCAAGTGGTACAGTATATAATGTCACTTTGCAAATGATTACCTTCACTTAGCAAGGGTGTTAATAAGAATCTGAACAAAAGCTGATATTTAGTTTAATGGCATAGTTCCCGACTATCATAGTGCCTTCTGCTAAAAAGTAAAAGAAAAGAGGGAAAAGGCAAATGTATTTTCAGATTTAAACCACTCTTCTAAAGCACATTTTGCAGTTTATGTGGCCCATTTTAAACTTTCAGTTTGACAAATGCCTGCAGGGAAGGTAATAACTATAGTTAAAAGTGAATATAGTCACAAATATGTCCTTCAAATGAGTTTCAAAATGGAGAGCCGTATCTTGAGATTTCAACTTCTTCAACTCAATGCATCTCTAGCAGGTTATTATCCTTGATAGCTTTTGAGAAATCCCTAAAGAAAATGCCATATTATAAAACAACGGTGTGGTGTATAAGAATTTCCCAGTAATGGCTCAATTGCCTTTTGATGATTTGTAACTATAAAGCGGCAGAGCGGGTGGGGGAGAATGTTGTAACTCATTTTCCACTTGCAAAGATTTTGCTCAGAACGGTAGGTGATCCAAAAAGTGAAAAGCATTTAACAGGATTTAACAATTGCTTCTCTTCTTCTGAGTCATATTTTGGAGGCTTAACTGATGGCACATGGTGGTTTGATCTCTTACAGGAAATCTACTCTTTTTACTAAAAAGGTATAAGGAATATTGTTAATCCGTGACACATTCAGCTATGTTAATACATAGGCATCAGTGTCCCCTTGGCCATGAAACTGATCTACAGTTCATGATGGCTGAGTGAAGTAGGTTATAAAATATTATGCTTTTTCTACTGGAATATCCCATCGGTTGACAGGACAGGAGGGAGCTTTGCAGATGATTTAGCTAAGCAAATTCTATAGGCTGTAGCTCAGGGTCAGAGCAACTGCTTTGTATTCAGAAGGTCCCATGTTTGATCTCCAATACCCCCAGGTAGGGAGTGGCAATACATTCATTTGTCCATCCCATGCCTGGAAGGGAAAGCAATCTAGTGGATGTGATTGATATTTGAAATTCATGTCTCTTTCCATTAGGTCCAGTCGTGACCGACTCTGGGGTTGCGGCGCTCATCTCGCTTTACTGGCCGAGGGAGCTGGCGTACAGCTTCCGGGTCATGTGGCCAGCATGACTAAGCCGCTTCTGGCGAACCAGAGCAGCGCACAGAAACGCCGTTTACCTTCCTGCTGGAGCGGTACCTATTTATCTACGTGCACTTTGACGTGCTTTCGAACTGCTAGGTTGGCAGGAGCAGGGATCGAGCAACGGGAGCTCACCCCGTCGCAGGGATTCAAACCGCCGACCTTCTGATCGGCAAGTCCTAGGCTCTGTGGTTTAACCCACAGTGCCACCCGCGTCCCGTCTCTTTCATAGGATCATAGAATTGTAGAGTTGGAGGGAACTGTGGGGATCATCTGGTCCACCCCCTGCAATACAGGAATCTTTTGCCCAACGTGGGGCTTGAACCCACAACCTTAAGAGTCTCATGCTGTCCTGAGTGAGCTAATTGACTCAGTCCACAAACGATATGCAATTGATTATGGTTCCCCCCCAATCTGCATTGCACTTCCTTTGCATTTAAATGAATGGGGTGAAATAACATAATGGCAATGTAACTACGTAATTTTCACATTTGATTTCTATAATTGATTGCACAGTTGATCATGTGAATCACAGTTTCTCAACAGTAAGGAATAACATATTTTGGGTGGAAGACGAACAGCACTGGAACAGAAACATTGTGGCATGTGACAAAATAGCCGAACAGAAAACGATGTCCACTTACATTTCTACCCTGGAGAGTCACGTGCAAACATGTCAGATATGACAATTGGATGATATTATGCATTCATTTAAGCATTTTGGAAAACTGTTTCCCACACACTTTGGCTTTTTGCCTTTCAAGTACCTGCCACTTCAAAAAACATTCCTTTTTATCCATCACTCAGCAGCTGATTCCACCCCACCCCCATGCTTTCAGTAGAGGGGCAGAATATGTTAGAAGTGCAGGCATTCAGGAATTATGGCTGCGATGAGCTAGTGTAAAGGAATCCCAACCAGGTATTGGCATCTATGTACAGCTGGTAGAACTCTCAATCTTGAAATGCGTCCTTTATTTGACTGACCAAGCCATATTAAACCAGTCTTCCCCAACCTGGTGCCATCTAGATGTTGTTTGACTATTACTCTGCTTTCCAGTGGGGCTGAGAAGTGGGGTTTTGTCGTCTGGGCAGCCCAGGACCTCCATACACACTGCCCAGGATTGCACCCCGGGGAGGTCACTTTGATGCTGCTACTGCAGCACTTTGACTTCACCCCTGAAGGTACACTCCATCAGACAGATGGATGGCAACAATATCTCTTCCCAACATCTTTGACCACTGGGCATCCTAGCTAGGAATGATGGGAACTGTAATCCAACATCATTTGGAAACCCAGAGTTGAATAAGGCTGCTTTAGGTTCTCTTTTCCTTTCTGGACAGCTCACCTTTTATAAGAAATGACGCATGTTTCGGGAATTATCCTTATCTATAAAATACAGAGCCCTAGCACTGTAAAATTCTATGGGACACATAAAAAATCATAGCCCTCCCTAAATTATCACTTGGGTTTGTAAGTCCATGACTTAAGCCCTATATTTCTCATTTGTTCTCTGGTGTTTAAGGGCAAAATCACGACTCTCTCTATTGATTAGCTACAAAGCCTTGATTTGCTCTTTGATTCCAACGCTGCCCTTGTTCTTGTATGGGCCACGTCACTGCTTCTGAAAAAAACCACACAGCAGGTACCCACCCCTTCCTTTGTGCTCTCTTGCCTACAAGTCCAGGTCATGTTCCCAGACTACTGCAGGGATATTTCTTCTCTCTGGCCTCTGCTTGCTGTGCCTCTCATCTCTAACCAGAACACCACTGCCAATTCACTTTTCATCGCCCTGATATGTGGCTCTTCAAATCCCTACTTTGATTCCTACTACTTCTAGCACAAAATTCCACTGTAAGACTCAGGGTGGTTGAAACTGTCAACTTTGATTTCTTTTCATTTTTCATTTTTCTAGTGTTCAGGTCTTCACATTTCTGCATCACTTTGCTTTTTTTATATATAAAAATTCTCATCCCTATTTTAGTGTGAATCTCTCCTAATATAAATATTTTGTTTGCAATTTTCTCGAATAGGCACATTTTTTTTACAAGTAGTTTCCCCTAATACAATGCATATTTGTATTTTATTTTCACTAATATGTGCATGTTGAGAGCTGGTGTGGTGTAGTGGTTAAGAGTGGTGGACTCATAATCTGGTGAACCGGGTTCGCTTCCCCACTCCTCCACATGCAGCTGATGGGTGACCTTGGGCTAGTCACACTTCTCTGAAGTCTCTCAGCCCCACTCACCTCACAGAGTGTTTCTTGTGGGGCAGGAAGGGAAAGGAGATTGTTAGCTGCTTTGAGACTCCTTAAGGGGAGTGAAAGGCAGGATATCAAGTCCAAACTCCTCTTCTTCTTCTTCTTGTGTCCATTGCTTGACTGGAGACTGCATTACAAAATTCAGAGAAGTGCAAATTTCACAGGATGGTTCAGTTTCGGAGTCATCCCTGCCAATAGATGTGAAGTTGGCAGGGAATTGGTGTGTGTGAGAGAAAGAGAGGGGAAGAAAAACACTTCTAGGTTGTGGCACCTGGTCCATGGAGCATAATCCCAAGATTGTTCTACCTGGCTCCTCCTTTGCTTGCTTTAAAGCATACAGCAAGCCCACAACTTACATACATTTAATTTGTGGGCATTCAGCTTTATGTGCCTGGCAAAAATTAAAAATGAATTTAAAAAAGGGGGTAGGCATCTGGTAAAAAAGACTCTGATTTTGGCTTTAGGAGTGATCCCTGGAACTTAACCCATGTTTTATGTCAGCATGGATTTGGTTAGTTAAGGACTTATACTATCGCTGTTCCTTGGTGCTGTGGTCTAAACCACTGAGCTTCTTGGGCTTGCCGATCAGAAGGTCGGCGGTTTGAATCCATGCAACGGGGTGAGCTCCCGTTGCTCTGCCCCATCTCCTGCCAACCTAGCAGTTCGAACGCATGCAAGTGCAAGTAGACAAATAGGTACAGCTGTCGTGGGAAGGTAAACGGCATTTCCGTGCGCTCTGGCTTCCGTCACAGTGTTCCGTTATGCCAGAAGCAGCTTAGTCATGCTGGCCACATGACCCAGAAAGCTGACTCCCTCAACCTGAAAGCGAGATGAGCGCCGCACCCCATAGTCACCTTTGACTGGACTTAAGCATCCAAAGGTGCTTTATCTTTTACCTTGTTCCTTGTTGGGATTTAGGGCTACTATTTCAGTGTTGCTATACGTTACAGTGGTGCCCCGCAAGACGAATGCCTCGCAAGACGAAAAACTCACTAGACGAAAGGGTTTTCCGTTTTTTGAGTCGTTCCGCAAGACGAATTTGCGTGTTGAGTCCCACAGTGCCACCCCCCAAAAATTCACACATCACACTTCAATTTTTGTTTAAGGTTTTTGGCATAATTTTTGGCCACAACTTTATTTAAATACAAAAAATGTGAGTGGTTGCTTAGGCATTGGTTTGACTATCTGTCCTTGCCCCCAAGGACAGAGCTGGCACTTCCGGACACCAGCGGAAGCCAGCGTGGGAAACAAGTATTGGGGAGAAGTGAGGCTGGGAATCAGTCCAACACTTCTCACCCTCATGTTCCGGTGGGGCTTGCACGGCCCAAGTCCGACTCCGGGGACAAGGACGAAAGAATGGCAAGCCCCTGGATTCCTTTAACGGAATTCCCATTCCGCATCATTTGGAGGGATAGGCACCTTACCCCTCCAAGAACCAATTTAACCAATGCCTAACCGCCAACCTTACAAGTTGTGACGATTTGCTACGCAGTAGGCAAAAACCAAATGGCACCAGCCAATCAGCCAAATGGCAAAATTCCTACCAGGCCCCCGCTCAAAGGCGGACGACCCCATGACAGGCATAGCAAGGTCAAGTAACCACGGAACCACCCTATAAAAGGGAGGGGGCGGGTGATCCGATGCAAAACGGCCAAGAGATCGTCCCATCGTCTGGCTCCTGAATTTATAGTCTCTGACCCCTCCTCCGAATTGGCAACACTCAAAAATCCCCAGCAACCCAATTAACCCTTTACAGGTTTGGGTTCCATCAAATTTGCCTAGTCATGACACAGTGGCCTGTTCCCCCAACCGCAACACGTGCTCTCTGTTAGGGAGAACACACTTTCCCTATGGGCTTGCTTTGCAAGATGAAACGTCTTGCGAGTTCTTGCGAGTTTTTTTCCTTTTTCTTAAAGCCGCTAAGCCGTTAATAGCTGCTAAGCCGCTAAGCCGTTAATAACCGCTAAGCCGCTAAGCCGCTAATAGCTGCTAAGCCGCTAAGCCGCTAATAGCCGTGCTTCGCAAGACGAAAAAACCGCAAGACGAAGAGACTCTTGGAATGGATTAATTTCGTCTTGCGAGGCACCACTGTACTGCTGTTATTTTTGGATTTTATATATTTTAGGATGCAATCCTTTACCCACTGACAGAGTAAGCACACCTGAACTCAAAGGGGCTTACTTCTGAGTAGCCATGATAGAGATAATAATTTAGGTTGTTACTGTATCTTTTCATTTGGAAAACACTTCCTTTTGACTGAACCTTGTGCTTGTTTTTGCCTTTGTAAAAATATATATTGCAGGCATGCATTTGACAGCAATCATGAGCCTGTCCCGCAAGCAGGTTGTGGCAAACCAACCATTCCTCTTTATCCTGAGACATAACTCGACAGGTAAATCGATAAGCGATGTATTTATTGTTACATTTGATTCAATGTATTGTTGTTTATTAGAGGGTTGGTTGGTAAGGGTTTGGAAGTTAAAGACCATTGTCCTAAACCACTTCTCAGCAGGTGAAGACGTTAGCTTTTTCCAGACCTTCTCCTCTGATATGATTACCATTGTGTGAGGGGGAAGAATGGGTCTGCAGCCCGTCTCTGTACGCCCATCAATGTGTGTGTGTGTGTGTGTGTGTGTGTGTGTGTGTAGGTTTGTCTGTACAGTGCTCTTGTGTTCAGGTTCTGCTTTCAGGTTTCATCTGTGAGAACAGGAGGCAGGACTAGATAGGCCATAGCTCTTATTATGTTCACGTGGACTCCTCACAGAATTTAGAGCCCTGATTATGTCTGATGGGTTCTGTTGTTGTGGTAGAAACTGGATCGGTTTGGGTGACCAGTGAATTTTCTGACCCTCCTGATTTTTTTATGAGTTTTGTTTGTTTGTTTGTTTGTTTGTTTCCATTCCCAGCTGGAGAGAGGAGTTTAATTGGCAGTGCCAGTGTGGAACTATGGTTAAGTTACCTCAGGGCCGTTTCACACATTATGAAGCCACAAGCCCAGGCGACTCACTGAATATACACTTGACAGGAAGCTGCAGCCAGCAAATCCTAGCTCCTTGACGATACACATTTTTGAGGCATTCATCTTTTACAGGTTTAAACTTTTGAAGAAGGTTTGAAGAGTCCCTCAGTAAGGGAGTTTGCCCAGACCCTAGGGCAAAGGCATCACCAATATGGCACTGGCAACTGTAGGTACACATGTGCCCTTGGAGGCTTTTGCTGGTACCCACAGGGTCTCATCCTGTCCTCAAGATGAAGTTTTGCAGTGTGTTCTGGGTGGCTGCGTATGTTTGCAATACCCCAAACAGTTCTCCCTAAATTGCAAATGTTCCCACAGGCCCAACAAGACTGGCAACTCTTTCCACAGAATCAACTACTCCAGGCAATCCTGTCATAGAAGTTACAGGAAGTAAGGAGGAATAGGCTGTTAAACCGCTACAATATCTATTACTGTTTCTTGTAAAAGCTGTAGAAATGCACATTACTATTTTATGATCTTGGCTAAAACCAAACTGTCTAAATTTACCTGCTGCTTTAAATTGAGGATTAGGAAACGGGGCAGCTCGTTTTCAGGAAATAACAGTGGCTGAATGCAAAAGAGAAATCACTGTTATTTTAAGCAATTACACAATCAGTACTTTTGTCCCCGGACCCCAATGTAACTAAGCCTAAGTAGGAGCCACTGAAATAATTGTATTTCCCCCCCCCTCCTGTTCACCCCACCCATCATTTCCTTCCCTCTCCTCTGCTGTTTTCCCGATTGTGTATTTTTTAGATTGCAAACCACTTGGGGCAGAGACTTGTTCTCTCATTCTTTGAAATCTGTCACAAACACTGATATATTAATGATGATAATAAATAATAGTAATTTCTAAAAACTACTGTCTTATGTGACATGATTTCACATCCAGTCTGGGACCAACATTATCTGACTCCATTTAAGGGCTGGCTGCAGGTGGTTTTTTTTTGTTTGTTTTTTTTGCTGGGTGGTGGGGGCTTGTAAAAATTGCCCATTCGTGGGTTAGTTGCTACATCGGGGATGGGCAACCTGCCCCCTACATTGCTGGACTACAAATCCCACTGTCTCTTGCCATTGGCAGGGGCTGATGGGAACTGGAGTCCAACAACACCTGGAGGGCCAAAGGCTCCCCACCCCTGCCCTATATCACCCCCCCCCCAAACAGAAGCTGTGGGTCTCTGAACAGACCCTGCAGCCAGACAGCTGCCATGGGAACATTATCCATAGGAAAATATAGGGGAGAAAATCCATTCTTTATTGGCTCCATAACATTTAACAACCTGTTCTTAAGTAAGGTGTGAGGGTTTGGGGGATTTGCATTACTGTTTTATGCTCCCTGCTGAAATCAAACTGTCTCAAAGTAACCCGCTGCTTTAAATTGAGGATTAGGATGAGTGGCAGCTCATTTTCAGGAAATAATAGTGACTGCAATAAAGAAGGGAAATTACTGTTATTTTTAGCAATTACACAATCAGTATTTTTTTCTGTTACGGCAACTTTCGTATTGAATTACTGATAATTTGTCATTGCGATGGCAGACAGGCTTTATCAAAGCTCTTGGTAACCTTGCCGCAACGGAATTAGAGCCTTGGGAATCACGGTGGTGTCTAAACTCTAATTTGGCATGTAAAAATGAAACGTATTTAAAATTGTTGCCTCCAAATGGTGGCGAGAGCAGGATAGCCTCACTGGCAAAAGAAGCATTTTAGCTTGATGTTTGAGAGTGACCTTCCTGTGAGGTACCAATCAATCTATCTATACCCTACCTTTCCTCCAATGGGTTCAAGGTAGCGTAAATGTCCCTCCCCCTTCCAATTTTATCCTCACAACAACCCTGTGAGGGTGCTTATGGGCTAAGAAGCAGTGACAGGACCAATGTCAGCCAGTGAGCTTCCTGGCCAATCAGGGATTCGTTCTCCAAGGTCTGAGGCTCTAACCACTACACCGCACTTCCAACCTCCTACATCAATGCTGGATCCAGGTGTCTTTTTGAGAGGGTGCAAGATGTGCAAGATGCCCATAGTGGGCCTTCCCTCTGAGCGTGTTCCCCTCTTCTTTGTCCCTTCAGTGTGGTGTAGTGGTTAAGAGCGGTAGTCTTGTAATCTGGGGAACTGGGTTCGCATCTCCGCTCCTCCACATGCAGCTGCTGGGTGACCTTGGGCTAGTCACACTTCTCTGAAGTCTCTCAGCCCCACTCACCTCACAGAGTGTTTGTTGTGGGGGAGGAAGGGAAAGGAGAATGTTAGCCGCTTTGAGACTCCTTCGGGTAGTGATAAAGCGGGATATCAAATCCAAACTCTTCTTCTTCTTCTGCCCATTTGCTTGTCTTCGTCCTCTGCTCTCAGTCCATAACAGCTGAGCTTGAGGCAACTGGAAGATGCCTCTCCATATATATATTTTTGCTCTTGTTGCTGCTTGCACGCTGAGAGAGGGCACATCAACAAGCAGCGAAGGATCTGGACTAGTAAGCATCCATCCTTGACACCAGCCCTGCTCCTTCTGAGGACTTTTAATCCGTAAGCAGACTGTCTTTTTAAGGTTTAAAAGACCCAAGGGGCAGGTTGAGGCTTGGGCCAGAAAACATCTGGCATGAGCGAAGTGGCTTTGCAAAGTCTCTGTGGCTCAAGGATCGGTGAGTCCGTATGTGGGAAGACCTGATATTCCTGCAGCCAGGGTGTGCCCAACTTGAGGAGATGGATAACAGCAATCAAGTACTGTATACATTTTGTGAAACAAAACAACAAATAGAATTGCATAGATCTGAACAACGACAACAAAAAGAGATGGAAAATAAAATAAAGTGAGTCGAAAACGGTCTGCTGTGAAAGGCATGGGTGGGTAGGGGTCCTACCCTAGGAGCAAACTCAAGTCTCCCTTGGCAACTGCTTCCAATAATAAATACAAATCCTTCTAGGTCTGTCTTGCGCAAAACTCCCCAGGGTATTTTTATTTTTTATTTTTTTGGACAGCTCTGAGTTGCCCCGCAAATAGAACACTGGCAGCAGCCAGGAGAGGAAAGGAGGGGGGGATTCGAGCTGAAACAAGAAGAAAAGCGTTGTGTTTTATACAACTTGTAATACTGCAAACTGTTTTCACATGCATATTGTGCGCAGAGAGGACACCGAATCTAATGAGGGGAAAGGGCCACAGGAGGGACTCAAAGCTGCATTCTCTTTGTAGGATAAATACCTTAATTGTCTTACTTGCATATATCTCCTAAGAGAATTCTAGGGATCTTAAGAGGTAATAATAATAATAATAATAATAATAATAATAATTTTTATTTATACCCTGCCCTCCCCAGCCAAGACCGGGCTCAGGGCGGCTAACAAGCAATAATAAAAACAAATTGAATGAATACAACGTAAAAAACAATATTAAAATTCAACATTAAAATATTGAAACATTAAAATATTAAAATGAGGCCTCATCACAGGAGGAGAAGGAAAAAGAAAGAGGGGGAGGGAATCAAACTGGCTCCAAGCCAAAGGCCAAGCGGAACAACTCTGTCTTATAGACCCTGCGAAAAGAAATCAGATCCTGCAGGGTCCTGGTCTCATGAGGCAGAGCGTTCCACCAGGCTGGAGCCAGTGTTGAAAAGGCCCTGGTAAGACCTTAGCTTCCTTCAGACTCTGCTTGCATTTTTTGGGTTAACCTGAGGCTGAAGTGAACTGAAAAGGAAGAGGCAGAGCCCCTGAATAAATCAGGAGTAAAACCATTATTGCAGTCTAGTCATTGGCGCAGGATAGAAATGCATTTTTAAAAAACAATGCACAATAAGTTTTTGTTAAAAAATAAATAAATTCTAGTGTTGACTATACTCCCCAAAGATGTCACCTTTGTCAGGTATGCCAAAACATTTCTTTGACATGTGCTGAGGAAACATTGCAGAAGGATTAAAATGGAAAATAGCTTCATTATCTTACACCGCAATCCCACACTCAGCTGTAAGTTCTGTTTAACTCTAAAAGGACTTGCTCCCAAGTAACTGCACATAGGATCACAGTCTTAAGGGCGAAGGCTGAAAATACCGTAAAGCATGATCACGTCTTGCTTGTGCAATTCCAACCTTGCATGGTTGAAAGTCAGTTGGTTGAAATCCTGCAAATTAATTGCACACAAGGTGGAGAGCTTAAAAGCTCCTTCTGTGCCAGTGACACACAACTTAGTTACACCCTGTTTGGATTACAGTAGATCAGAATTGTTGTAATTGGATCAATCAAGATCAGGGAAGCTGGAAGAAATAAAAACTGTGTACCCTGAAATTCAACACATGGGAAGTCACTCAAAATGGTTTAATTTGGTATTTGAGTAATTGGCCTTCTAATTGTATTGTAATTTGGTATTGTGATACCAAATTTTTATTGGCTTTTGGCTTTTATTGGATTATGGTAATTGAAAATTAATAAAAATATTATATGGATTACAGTAATGCACTCTGCATGGATCTGCCTTTGAAAAGTGATCAGAAACTTTGACCTGCTCAAAAAGCTGCAGCCAGAGTGTTGATCGGAACTGGTCATAGGGAGCAAGTGACTCTCTTGCTACAACAGCTCCACTAGCTACCTGTCTGTTTCTGAGCACAATTCAAAGCACAGCTTAGGTCCAAACTATCTAGACCTCTCTCCCTGGGGAAGCTAGACTGGCTCCCTCCTTGTCCTTCTGCTGGCAAGTGAAGACTTTCTTGTTCCAACAGGCCTTTGGGAATTGACTGCTTTTAATCAAAGGGCTGGTGCCATGCTGTTTTTATTTTAATTATCTGTACGTTTTAAGTATTTGTTATATATGTTATATATTTTTAACTCCATCAATGTTTAATTATATTTTAATGACTGATTTTTCTGTTTTTAGCAGTTCTTGTTTTTATCTCTAAGCTGCCTTGAATCCCATCAGGGAAGGAGGTGGGGTGTAAATAAACATATATTGATAATAATTATAAGGCAGGCACCATCAGGCAAACAACTATCCCTCAGTCTCAGCCCTTCCACCTGTGACAAACCAATAACAATTCAGGGCTGTGGCAATGACCATGGGTTGTGTCCAGTGCTACACTTACTCAGAGTAGAGCCACTGAAGTCAATAGGCATATGGCCAACTTAGGTCCATTCATTTTAGTGCAGCTACTCTGAGGAAAACTTTGTTGGATAAAACCCAATGAACATGCAGTGCTTGGAGCATAGCTGTCAACTTACAGATTTGAAAATAAGGGGCCAGCAGCCTCGAAAATAAGGGATCAGCAGCCAAAATAAGGGATTTTCAGAACATAGGTATGTTCGACTTCTGAGCACCCCGAGCCAAAGGCAGAAAGCCCAGCCAGCAGCCAAACAAAGCCTCAAGCGGTGGTTCCCACAGCGCAGCAACCCGGCAAAGGGGATGCAGCAAGGAAAACCACCGTCACCTCTCCGCTGGGAAGCGCTGAGCAAAGGCGAGTCCCCAGGCAACGCGGCCAATTTGATCGGCACAAGGCATGCAAGCTCTACCCCCCAGTCGTTCTTAGACTCCTTATTGGGTGAGCAACGCAGCCAAGCAACACAGTTGGAGCCTCCCTCCTCCCTGGCCGGCAGGGAGGGAGGGAGAGGAGCTGCTTCCTTTGAAACCTGGGAAATTTAAGGGACATCATCAATAAGGGACAGCAGCGGGACACTGTGCTGGGATAAGGGACTTTCCCGTCAAATAAGGGATGGTTGACAGCTATGGCTTGGAGCCATTGAGAAAAGTGCAGCATAAGTACTCCTGACTGATTGTGAGATGCTGTGATTTTTATTTCTTACAAGTGGTTTTGCGTAGTGACCACATAGGCACTAGAACAGAGGTCAGCAAGCTTTTTCAGCAGGGGGCAGGTCCACTGTCCCTCAGACCTTGTGGGGGACCTGACTATATTTTGGAAATAAAAAATGAACGAATTCCTATGCCCCACAAATAACCAAGAGATGCATTTTAAATACAGTGGATGCTCAGGGTGCAAATGTTATCCGTGCGGGATGCACGTACACAACCCGCAGCGGTGCGTCTGCGCATGCGCAAAGCGCGATTTAGCACTTCTGTGCATGCGCGGCCTCCGAAACCTGGAAGTAACCCATTCTGGTACTTCCGGGTTTTGGCAGGTCCGTAATCCGAAAAAATGCAACCTGAAGTGTCTGTAACCCAAGGTGTGACTGTAAAAGGACACATTCTACTTGTGTAAAAAGACACTGATTCCGAGACTGTCCATGGGCCGGATTTAGAAGGCGATTGGTCCAGATCCGGCCCCCGGGCCTTAGTTTGTCTACTCATGCGCTTGAAGGTCAGGTTAGAAACATAATGAACATGAAATTAACATAAACATAATGAAAATGGAATTATTGCAATTATTTGGAAGTTCCCATCTGAATAACTTTTTCTCTGCCTTCCACTCAGGGTCCATTGTATTTATGGGGAAGCTGGCCAATCCTGACACGCAGTCGCAAAAGAGAAGAGACAGAGACTCTCTTTGAAAAGTAATAACACTAAGGTCACATGTGCTTTGAGGGGGAGATGGAAATGTGGTTTCTTTTAATGCTGTTGCCTGCTGAATAGTCTCTCTGCACCTCATATACCGGTAGCAAGGTTGAATAAACCATTTCTGCATGTACTGTTCGTCTCTAGCTTCTCTGTAAATTATTTTATGTACTTTGGATGCTCTCAAGTACTCCAGGTAATTATAGAAGATTCGTAAAGTGGATATTTGAAAGGAACGATGTGCACTTCAAGAAGCAGCTATATACAAGAGAACGTATTGTTTCTGATCTAAACCATAAAAGGAAAAAGAGAAAAACAATTCTCATGCATTTCTAAGTTCTCATGGAAATTTTCAAATGGCAAGCTTTTCCGTTTTGATTGCACCTTGACAGTTATTGCTTCAGCCTGCGTGCTGCTCGGCTTTGCTAGCAAACGGGTAAGAAATAAAAACAAAATCCTTCAATCCATTTGCGATGACGAGATAAACAAAAAGGAGGTTTTGAAAAAGAATATACTGTTACTATTTCTGCATTTTTTTTAAAAAACCAAGAAAACAAAGTATATGTGGATTTTGAATCCATGCTACAAAACTTTTCTTTTCGCTGCCTTTTATAACTGCAGGGTCTATTTTCCTTCAGCTTTCTTGGGCTGGGACCATGTTTGAAGAAGCCCTGGAAAATAATTGACACTCAGGCCTGCCTAGCAATACCATGGTTTATCTTGCCAAAGTAAGATTACAAAAGGGTGGGTGATGGGGCTTGGATGAACATCATGATTTGATTTTTTATACCTGGAGGTTAGCAGAGCACAGACAACAGAAGGCTATATCTGTCCAGTTGGGCCACCTGCCCAAGTTGATGGAAGACATTCTGCACCACCAATACCGCCTGAGCCTTAAGCGACAGCCATGGATCCTCTAAGCTGCATCCCTGCTCCTTCAGAGAGAGTAACCCCATCAAGAGCAGGCAACCTGCCATCCATGTGGTCTAGGAAACCACGTAACTCATAGTCTTATCTGGATCAAGCCTCAGCTTGTGGCTCTTGTCCAGTCCACTACAGAGGCAAGACGACAGTCCAGCACACCCACTGCCACACTGGCAGATGTTGCATTTGGGGCAAGCAGTGTTGCTCACACCTGTACAGTGGTGCCTCGCAAGACGAAATTAATTCGTTCTGCAAGTTTTGTTGTCTTGCGATTTTTTTCGTCTTGCGAAGCACAGTGTCGGGAAAGTTTTGGAAAAGCTTCAAAAATCACCAAAGTCTTTAAAAACCTCAAAAAAGGCTACCACACCGCGTTCTATGAGTTGCTCCTCGAAGTCAAGTCGCAACTGTATTAACGGTGTTAAGAAAAAGGAAACAAACTTGCAAGACGTTTCCGTCTTGCGAAGCAAGCCCATAGGGGAAATCGTCTTGCGAAGCAGCTCAAAAAACAAAAAACCCTTTCGTCTAGCGCAGGGGTCTGCAACCTTTAAGACAAAAAGAGCCACTTGGACCCATTTCCGAAGAAAAAAAAACCTGGGAGCCGCAAAACCGGGAAGGTGACGTTGGGACGGTGCATGACTAACGCACGCACCGCCCCCATGCGACATCACAGCCAGTACAGTGCCTGCCACAGTGGGGAGTGTCGGGGCGCACAATGCGCCTCCTCTCCTCGCTAGTATTCGCCCCGGAGCCGCAACAAAGGTGTAAAAGAGCCACATGCGGCTCTGGAGCCGCGGGTTGCAGACCCCTGGTCTAGCGAGTTTTTTGTCTTGCGAGGCATTCGTCTTGCGAGGTACCACTGTACTAAGAAAGGAAGCAGCAGGTGAAGTACCTGTAGCAACCGCCATCTTTCCCCAGGAAGCTCCTGGATCCCAGAGGTAGAGTAATGCAGACAGCCAGGTGCTTCTCACTACTTCTCAGTCCTTAAACGAGTCTATTTTATTTTTTTAAAGGAGATGTTGGTGTTAGCCTGTGTGTCCTAGCATTTCCCCTGCCATACCAGGTGTTGGCCCTGGGCCTAAAAGCAAAAGATTCTACCCAACTACCTGCCACTCTTTCACCTACCCCCTCTTCTCTCAGCCTAATAACTCTGCAACTGGGTGATTTGGTGCTTTCTCTGGCAAGCTGTTGCTTCCTCCACTCGCACTGAAATACGGCAGTGTCTAATAAATAAGATTTAATTGATTTGACTGATAATTGCATCGCCGCATCATTTACACATATTATTATTCTCAGTCAGTGATTTTTTTTTTAAAGGGCTGCACACATGCTCAACTAATGCACGATGGAGCAGCAGGATCTGTATTCTGCATAAGACGCTATCCTGTTTTTAAAGTATGTTTCCCCTTATAGCTGGCCGTTTGTTAACACAGCCAAGTTTGAAGCAGGCATGATCCCAAGCTGTGTACAAATCGCTCTCCAGAGAGCACAGGTCATCACAAGCCCAGGCAGATATGACCTGTTTCTTCTTTGGGTCTGACTTCTTAAAATGCTGTGCTGTGCTACAAAGCCTCTTTCATTTTGGCATGGCATGGCAGTATCTAAACTTTCTGAGCAGGCAGCCAAGTTGTGGCTATCAGCATTTCCCCCCCAGATAATCTGCTAAACAGTCATCAGCAGCAATAACGTGACAATGTGATTCTAGCAACAGTGCACCGTCTGGAGTTCTGCGCTCTTCCGTAATGATTTTATGTATACATAAAATCCAAAATTCTTGGGGAACCAGAGACATTTCTCTGATATCCGTTGCACTGAATCAGCAGCAGCAGCTGCTAGCAGTGTCCATTAACACTTCTTTATATATTAACGTTTAATCATGGAAAGCCTCATTCGCTGGAGGATGCTAATGAGGGAAATTTATTTATAGTATATTTTCTTTATTCAAAGATACTCAGGCCTTATGCTGACTGGGTCTGTCCATGGCTATAATATAACAGATAGGAAAATGACTTGATCCTGGAATGTCCCACTTTTCCTTAGGATGTCCCTATTTTTATTGGAGAAATGTTGGAGGGTATGGAGTTATCTGACCCCCCCCCAAGCCATCTGGAGGTAGCCCTGTATAGGCAGGTTTTTAAATGTTTAATGTTTTATTATGTTTTTATATATGTTGGAAGCCACCCAAAGTGGCTGGGGCAACCCAGTCAGATGGGCGGGGTATAAATAGTAAAAAATAATATTATGGAATAGGACATCCCTATTTTCATCGGAGAAATGTTGGAGGGTATGAAACGAAAGTTTGGGAACTATAAGCCACAACTGTACAGTGGTACCTCGGGTTAAGAACTTAATTCGTTCTGGAGGTCCGTTCTTAAACTGAAACCATTCTTAACCTGAGGTACCACTTTAGCTAATGGGGCCTCACGCTGCCGCCACACGATTTCTGTTCTCATCCTGAAGCAAAGTTCTTAACCCAAGGTACTATTTCTGGGTCTGTAACCTGAAGCATCTGTAACCTGTGGAGTCTGTAACCTGAAGCGTCTGTAACCTGAGGTACCACTGTACCATACATTTAAAGGACTGTTGTGCCACTTTAACAGTCATGGTGTCCACCAAAGAATCTTGGGAACTGTCATTTATTAAGGGTGGTGAGAGTTATTAGGAGACCCCAGTTGCCCTCATAGAGCCCCAATTCCCAGAGTTCCCTGGGAAGTGGGGTTCATTGTTCAACCACTGTGTGAGTTGCCAGGATTTTTTGAGCGAAGCCATGGTCGTTAAAGTGGTATAATGGTGCTTTCAATGTATGGTTACCCGTTGCCTTGCAGGACATATTCTGGAGAAGAAAAGGCTAAGGAGTAAACCCTACACAAATCTGGAGTGGAGTCCCTAGCAGTGTTGGATGGTGTCTTCTGGCGACTCCTGCAGCCAAGTTGGTGCCAATGTTCCTTTGGACCACATCAGCGAGGCCAAGAGGTTGTTGTCTGGGCAGCCCAGGACCTCCATTCACACTACTCAGGCTGGCACCCCAAAGATGTCACTTTGGTGCTAAAAACAACACAGGAGGCAGCAGTTACGAATTATTGGTCTGCAGCCCACAGTAGGTGCCAGGCCTCTCTAGTGGCTTGGCCTTGCCCCAAGAGGCACACTTCATTGCCTTTCGAGACAGACTGATGCTAACATACATGGCGTGGATGTGGCCATAGAGTCCAAATCCCTCTCCAGTCATTCTTAAAAGCTAACCATGGAGAAATACAATGCTGACTGGATTGATCCCACACCCTTGAACGTTGCCTGCAGAGCTTCTGAGGGAGACTTGTAAGTGCAACTGGGAAACCTGTGAGAGCCAGTGTGGTGTAGTGGTTAAGAGCGGTAGACTCGTAATCTGGGGAACCGGGTTTGCGTCTCCGCTCCTCCACCTGCAGCTGCTGGGTGACCTTGGGCCAATCACACTTCTTTGAAGTCTCTCAGCCCCACTCACCTCACAGAGTGTTTGTTGTGGGGGAGGAAGAGCAAGGAGAATGTTAGCCGCTTTGAGACTCCGCCGGGTAGTGATAAAGCGGGATATCAAATCCAAACTCTTCTTCTTCTGGTAAAAGTGCTTAGAAACCTGCTTGTCGAAGGGGCTAGCCAGGGCCTGTTTTCCCAAATGCTACACGTATATTAAAAGACAAGACAATCCCTGCTTTACAGGTTCACAATCTCAGAAGCATAATACATTACATGTGTTGCCATTGTTTAGGGGATTAACACATAATCTTGACACTTAGTTTAAAAAAATGGTGTGTGTGTATAGTTTGTTTTTATCAGTGTTTTTAATAGCTTTTTCAGGCTGTTTATTGTGAACTGCTCAGAGGTGTTTTGATCTAGTAAGCATTGGGTGGGAGGGAGGAGGGAAGAGAAAAGCAAAGCATGGGAGCAGCTGCCGACCAATGGGGTCAAGTTGTTCTTCCTCTTGCCATGATATTCTTCTTGGCTCCCTGTCTGTGGCCCTAGGTCATGCTCTGCTTTGATTTTAGGCGGTGGCGGTGGTAGGGAGAAGATGTGGGAGGAAAAAAGAGCAATTTAACCCTTACAT